AGGTGTAACGGGATGATGTTCTGACATTCTTCGACCATAATCGTGCTTCGCACATAATTTCATCCAAGTGACATCGTCTGCAAGAAGATCTCTCCAACGTTTCGAAACCTGGGACGAGCGCGCAAGTACTTTCGGGTCGTCGATACAAGACAGAATCTATACAAATCAATTAGCTTGGGCTTCACCTCTTGAAAATGGAAACATACACGAAGGCATAGTTCATCTGGTAAAGTGGTAAATGGATCTTTCTTCAATAACGGGCTAACATATTGATGTACAAAGCTTAGTTGTTGGCTTGTGCACAAATTCAAAAGATCTCCTAATATTCTCGTTCTTTCGGGTGCTGAACTTTGCGCGAAGTATATTCTGATTTGTGATAAAAATATATCCTCCTTTTCTCCCGCCTCACTCCAATCTGGCTGCGGGTGATCAGGACCTGGACTGGCTGCCGGTGTAGGGGGAGGAGGAGGGTCATGACTCGAGTGTGTGGGAGACTGTATATCGGCGGAAGAAGTCGTCATATTTGGCGTCGGAGGACCTCTTGGTCTACTTAGGATCTTTTCTAACCTTTGCGGCATTGGAATGCGCTCGCCATTTGTGTCGACCGTTAACGCTCGGGTGGGAGACATTTCGCCGTCTCTTTCAATGGGTGCAATGGAAGCCCTTCTGTCTGTTAAGCTCAAAGGTCTGAAATTGTCCATAGCCGCTTTCTCTTACCCTCTTTCTTCAACCAGTTGTTCCGTCTAGGTTGAACGGTTGAGAAAAGGTTACGATCGTAGATGCGGAGGTCGTGAAGGTCTTTCCCGACTAGATTGAGGCTTGGGACCAAGGGAAGAATTTGGATTGACAATCAACGGATGAAATCTCGACCATGGAAATGAAAAACGATTGCGCCAATTGGTAGAAAGTCGAATATATTAAATTTAAACCAAGGAATCGTCTTTTAACGTGTGTTGAAGGCGGTGTTGAGAGAAGGTCGTGCAACGTAGTGTCCAAGGGAACACATTCGAATGCGTTGTCGTTAGGGTTGAAACTCGATGATTAATGGCACAATTTGAATCAAGTATGTTTTAATATCTATACCGATCACGAATATAAATGGCAAGAATCAATCGTAATGATATGGTCTATACTTGTTGAATTGTTTGACGATAAGATGATATTCAAAAAGGGAGTAATATAAATGCTTTCGTACTTTTAATGTACTTTGTACTGGCTGGGCTGAGCTTGATCTTGAGATGAGAGAGAGTCTTCTGTGTGGTAAGCCAGTGGAAGTGGAACGTCGTGGGTCGTGGGTCGTGGGTCGTAGGTGGATTTTGCTAATTGGAGTTAATGAACTTTTGGGTGGTCTCAGTCATTATTGCGGTCATGCCTAGGAGGCAGGGATAATTCGTTAATGAAGTAAGGATGTTGAAGAACTTAAAAGTGGAAAAAATGGATGATCATGTACATGTTATCAAAGTATGATATGGCCATTCAGAGTTTGGTCGTTGACTTGGATGGAGATGTCTTTGGGATCATGTTCTCGATACGAAGATATCCAAATCAAGGTATGGCAGGTCACTGCAAACAGACAATCACACATGGGAGAATTACCTACCTCGCACAGCACTAGATGAATGAACCTCCACGTTTCTTGTTACTCCTTTATAAATCGAGGGGTGGATCTATCTGTACTGTCTGCACTACCTAGGTAGAATAGATTATCTATTGAAGTATCAACATCACTCGCTCCCAAGTTAATAAATGATTTCAGGTCTTCGTCGTCATGACTTATCGATAGTGTAGAATTTGAAAGACTGTCAGCTAGAACTGAGATCTTTCAATCTCTATTTGAACACCAGAGTAATAATAGTTCAATGAGAGCATCAGTGAAAGAACTCTATGATATCAGGGGGGCTTAAGTTCTGGTACCGATTCTTTGATTGACCTGCTTGAGTTGGTGGTGGTGGCGGTGGAACTGTCATATAGCTACAAATATCCCATTATAAATCAATATTCTACATCTAATTTTTCTAAACGCCTAATAGCAATTAAGCGTCTAGAGAGTGTGGCCATCAATACCCAAGTCTCTTATATGTTATCCCTCCGTCACATAGGTACCTACTCTTAGGAAAGTTCCAAGATGCGAATTACAATTTCTACGCAGTGAGCATTCAATCATTTCATCCAACCTATCTAGATTTAGGTATCAACAGTAGCACCCACAACATCTAGAATCCTCAAATAAGCAACACATCAGTGCATACATAGCACATGACCCATTTTGTCTTTCACCACACACATTAATCATCACAAATCATACTCTTTGAACCAAACCTACCACATGATATCACGAATCGTTGGAATCGAGAATCCACTCCATCATCTTCAGAAAAGGGGGGGCGAAAAACTCACTTACAACTCGTGCCGTGCCACTAAATAATCTAATCTCACACCACCTAATCGCCTCCTTTTTTGTTATCGCGATAAGGCCTCCTAACAAACTAATAAACATTTTCCCAAATACCTACATCATCGCTATGCTCGCCAATATCGGGAGCACGATCACGAACTTTTCAATAGTCAAAGGTTAAACTCAAGGCTTAAGCTAAAATACTGGAAACAGAAGGCTGTGCATCTATTTTTCTCGTTTCAAATCCTCCAACCTTTTTACCCCTTACATTTTGTACATTTCGTACTTTTCTTAGCTTTTCTAAGGTTTCAATATCGAAGAGCGCAGGACTTTTCGTCCAGAACAATGAAGCGAAATCAATCCGCATTAACATGGTAAAATACATCTGAATTGTCTGTTCTCTAAAAATAGTATGGAGTCAAAGGGTCCAGTGTTTCGAGATCCAAGGTTTTGTCTCGGAGTGGAGCTTTGATGTAAGCGAATTATGCGTTCACCCCCCTCTTCAATTTCTAATTGCAAACCTAATTGGGAGAAATAACGGAGATGAATATCCTAAAATTTCCAATGGGTAGGAACATAATATAATTGGTATCATATTCCTCCCTCCTGTGCCCAATCTATATCTTACAAGAACATCCATCTATGCGTTTTATCTTTTGCATTCTCGTACTGGACGAGCATAAGTTTCCATTCCATTCCATGCCCTTTCTCCTCTCTTTTATATATACAAAGCCTTCCTTCATCTAGCCTTCCACTCAATGGTCATGACCAAACTGTGTTAATAGAGGGATCAACATTCCCCCGACAGCCGCGAGCGTATCTCTCATTTGCGGTTTCGCTTGTTTACGTTGTGAAATACCGTCAAGATACCCATTGGAATTTGTGTGTTCATGGGAATGCACCCCCGAATCTTCTTGCATAGCATGCATTGCGACGTATCTATTCACTTGTTATTAGCCCTGTCTGCCTTTTGTTTGTTTAAAAAGAATTAGGTGTGCCTTACAGAAAAGTTCCACCAGAAAACAATAGTAACATTCCCGTCCACCATTGTCCTTTGGCTCCCTCAATATTTCCACCACCAAGAATATTTACTAATAGAAACGTCGTGATGGCACCAAATGGAGCTGCGAGACTAAAAACTATGAGATGACCACGTGCTGCTCGTTTCGAAAGTCCTTGCTTCAGTAAGACCGATGTAAGTCCAAAGGCGGCAGGCGCTTTATGGACCATGATTGCAATGAAAATGATAAACCCTAGTTTCGTGTTGGATGTAGAGGCGGATGCACCCATAGCTATTCCATCTGCCGATGCATGTATCACAAGCCCTGTCGTTGTAGCCAGACTACGACTTTGCTTCGGGCTCGGCGTGAGTGATTGAAAAAAGCCGTCTGATTCTTCATCAGACGAAGAGATGTTTGATATTCCTTGAGATAGATTATTAAGAGAAATTTGCCTTGGAGCTACCGGGGCTTGTAATTTCTCGGAAGCATGTCTTGGAACTTTGTCAATTAAGAACATAAGAATGAATCCCAAAATCAGAGATAAACCAATCCAGAATGTAGGTGATTCGTACTCGTCGTGATGCACATCGCTTGCACCCGTTGGTTTTTCATCCGACTTTTCCGGTGCACTATTTTCCTTTTCCTCTGCCAGAGTTTCCCTGGTAATGATCTCAACTTCTACGGGCTCCGAAGTCCTTGAATTTAGCTGGGCATGTCTTCGGTTGACAATTGCTTTGTTCGAGTATGCGATTGTGTTGACTCCACCAACCCACGATAGCTCGGAGCTTCTCTCTTGAACCCTCATGCTCCTTGCTCCATGAGTATGTGCCGAAGATCCTGCAGTATATACTGCTTCAATTCCTTCGGGTATGATAACAACCAGCGAAGTCCCGACAAGTACTCCCATACCAATCGTAGATATTAATCGAAGTTGGGACGGCGATAAGGTCATAGATAGTGGAATTGCTCCAGCAAGAAAGCAACTAAATACTTCATCAGCATATGAGTTGCAAGCTTTGAGTAGGGGAATTACCTCAAGCACATTATCACGCTCAAAATGAGCAGCATAAATAACCCGTCGAACATCGTGAATACCCTCTATTTGCTGCACCTTTAAAATCTACGTCGCAATCCTATAAATACCAGATCAAAAAGAATATCACCGCTTCATTTCGAAATCAGAATCACAATAAGTAGAAAGGAGACAAGACAATTGATTAAATCCTCAGAAAGGCAGGTGAAAGATAATTTTCCTATGCTTGCGCACTCCCACTCCCTTTATAAAGAAATCAATTCGTCACTCCGGGATGACAGATTTGGGGTCTTACTCAATACACGAACGAGGCTGAACTACCAGATTGAACTAAACTAATAATAAAGAGTGCCACATTGTTAAGTAATTTATTAGAAATCCCTGTAACTTCTGGGGAGAAAACGCGTCTCGGCGGAAAATCACTCTACTCCTTACGCGATTTGTTAAGCTCTGGTGAAGCTTTGAACCTGTACAGAAATATTTACAATTGATCTCAATTGACAACGACAATTACTCAACAAGCCTATCTATCTTTCGCATTAACAGTATCAGCAAAATTATTGTCGCAAAGATGGCTGAAATCGATTCAGATTGTAGGTATTATTAATTTCTTTAACCCAAAGTCTTTTTATTGTTCCAGTCGATCGGCCGTGTTCATCACAGAATATTCTACCTATTGCTCCCCCCCCCCAATGCTCCGTGTTGAACTGTATGCGCCGACGAGCAAAAGCTCACGAAGATCAATTTCATACTTCATAAAAGCTAACATAATGAAATGCAGGGTCGTCCGATTCAAATGAGGCCATATATATCTCTCTTGTCACCCCAAGCGCCGAAGGCATAACCTCACTTCACACCTTCAATCCAAAATTCACATATCCCATATTCGGGGAAGAGGAATCAATATTTGGATATCAGGGATTGAGAATCAACTTGAAATATAATGCCTGTGATATGCGACCTGGCCTACAAATTACCTACAACAAGAAATTTAAAGCAGTCGGTGATATAGAACCAACAGACCTGAAGGCAGTGCTGGAACCATTCTTACCAAAGAGTATGTTCACTTCACGAAGAACTTCCAGGAACTGTCACTAACATCAACACAGCTGCTTTTGAAAAATCAAGTGTTTTTGAATCGCATATTTCAGCTACCCCAGCAGATTGGCATCCACCAGGAGAACTCTTTCGCACAATTGAGGTCGGTGGAGAAATTTTTGAAATATGGAAAGGCAATCTCTCGGATCCGGTCATTCAACAAACCATCAAGCGGGTGCAAACTCTAGTCCCATTGTTTATTGAAGGAGGAACATTACTTGATCTTGATGAATCAGAAGATGATCTTGGACGTTGGACAGTATTCTTCTTGTACCACAAGAAGCCAGCCGCAGCCTCATTTTTTGAGAAATCATCATCCTACATATTCATGGGCTTTTGTACCGTTTATCGCTATTTCGTATATACGCCCGCTACTCCTCCACAATCCCCCAATGGCGACAAAATAGCTCCCGAGTTCACAATCCCTGTTGATGGTGTATCGTTTAACACTCTTCCATGTCGTTCAAGAATATCGCAATTTCTCATTCTACCCCCTTTCCAAAGCGGGGGCAAAGGATCACTATTTTACAACGCCGTATTCGATTACTTATCTAGTGACCCATATACAAGAGAAATCACAGTGGAGGACCCGAATGAAGCATTTGATGATTTAAGAGACATCAACGATCTAGGTCGTTTACTCAAAGACGAACGTTTCCTCAAATTAAAACTAGACTCAAAGGTGAAAATTAACTCTAAAGGTCCAGCACCAGCCAAACTCTTTGATACCGATGCATACGAGAAGCTTCGAGTCCAATCAAAAATCGCCCCTCGCCAATTCGCTCGTCTTCATGAAATGTATCTTCTATCTATAATCCCCCCATCCGCCAAAGCAGCCCTTTTGCGCGACATGGGAAAACCACAAAAGTCTCTCCCGCCTCCCAAAAAAGAGGATGAACACATGTATTATCTCTGGCAACTCCTCGTGAAACAACGTCTCTATCGTCACAACAAAGATGCATTAGCGCAATTTGATCGCGGAGAAAGAATCGATAAATTGAACGAAGCTTTAATGGGCGTAGAGGCTGATTATGGAAGGTTGATTGAGATGGTTGAGGAGAGAATTGAGATGGATAAATCGACTGTTATTGGAAAGGGGAAGGGAAAGAATGTGGCTAATGGAAATGGAAAGAGGGCTGCTGATGATGAGGATGATGAGGATGAAGAAGATGATGAAAGTGAGGAGCCTTTGGCTAAGAGGTTGAAGTTTGCTTCTTGAATAGCATCGGTGGTAATATGGTTGGTATAGGATGGAAGAGGCACGTGTATTAAAAGTGGTGCCGTACATTGGTACTCACTATATCATGGAGTTCGGGTGTGATTGAATTTAGGGATGATATCAGGGAATGCTTGAGATCTTTGGTTTTCGGATGGGAAAGAATAAATCTGGAGAGAAAGAACGAACATTAGAGTCAGATAATTCAACTTCAGATATCAGTACACAACAAAATTCGAATGAAATATTTCAAATGCTATTTGCGCTGATTCTTTGGGTATCCCCATTATCCTATAGTTTTCCCTTTCATTTTGTCCAACCATTTTTCCAAGCCGCCCGCCCATTACCCATCGCTAAACACCAAACCCAACCGTGCAATCTCGTTAAAATCTAAAACCTCATCCCATTACCTAACCCCCACAACTCCCTTTCCAAGCTGCCCCTCCACAACAGCCGCCTCCCTCACTGCTCTCGCTACCGCCCCCTTGACTCTTCCCTCCTCAAGCACCAGCAATCCTCCTATCCTACATCCACCTAGCGTACTCACTTTATCCCTCAAAAGCGCAGGATGCTCACCCGATAGAACCAAACCAGCTGCACCATACATAGTCTGCGCAGCTATTTTTTGCGATTTTGCTCGTGGGAGTCGCATGCCTACAGTACCGTCTATGGGGGCCTCGAGAATTAATGTGAAAAATGCTGGAGCGGAACCACAGAGAGTAGTACAGGTAGGTAGGTATCCATGGTTGAAGAGGAAGAAAAATAACTTCGTCGATACGTGTGGAGATCTAGGTTAGAAGTGTAGTTGTGCTTTCATGGAGGAGGGGGTAGAAGTATTTAATACTGTTATTGATTCTTGGATCTGAGAAAAGAGGTTGGGTATTGCGCGGACGATGGTACAGGGGTTGGAAGCGGAAGCGAGGTCGGTAAGACCTTTTGTTTGTTTGACGAAGAGCTGAGTCTGGAGCTGTTTGATGGTCACGCCGGCAAAGATACTGGTTAGAAGTTTAGCGGCTAGGGCTTGCGCTACGTTGGGCTCGGATGGGATCTCGTTTACTGTGTAGGGCTTACAGGTTCGGTTGGGTAGGCGGGAGTTGATGTTCCTGATGTGTTTGGGGGGATGAGAATTCGGGTTTGAGGCGTATTGAGGGAGCTGAGTATTCCAGAGAGGATTGCTATACCCATTGCTATACCCATCGTTCCTACATTCAAGTATCAGTGTTGGGTTTTGCTTTTGATCCATGTTCTGGCATGACTCCCCCGGAAAGCTAGCAAATAAGTAGACATTCATCCACAAACGATTGGTATATCCAACAGATGTGCATAAAAATGGAGTTTGGTTTCTAAGATACTATTGTCCAAGTGAATAAACTTATAGATACAGAAATATAGCAAAGTGTAACATAAAATATAATTTCTCTGCGCATATGGGAGAAGTACATGTCCATATCTCGTCCCATAGCCTACAAGACCAGGTACGGACGACCGATGGCTCCTACCGTACTTGAGAAGAACTTCACTGTTTCAAAAACAATAAATTTAAATTGGCAATGTAATTTCCTCTCGACTCCATCTCTTCGAGTCAATGAAAGAGGTTCAGAAAAAACAAACACACAAACATACCACAACCAAGAACTGTCAAGGTCATTTCTGATTCCATATTTTCAATTAAAGAACTCATAATTGATTATCTCCTTCTTGGATCGGAGTTATCATCAAAGTAATTATCTCCAATACATTCTTGAAGTATCTTCTTCATATATATCCCTTGTTCGGAATATTGAGGTTCTAACTTTGAAGTAAGAAGTCAAGCAAAGCTCCCTTCCCCACCACACCAAAATACTGCCAACGCTCCACCGCCCAAATTTCACCCAACAAAGCGTAGTGCTTCAAAACTACATCATGGATACAACCAGACCAGCTCCACTGCGCAACAGTGAACTGCTAAATTCCATTGAGGAGCCGACTTTTCGCGCGAATTTACCTGATCCCATATCAAGCAAGCCGCTCAAAGCGAGGGTCAAGCCAGCGCAAAAAGAGATGGATCCCTTCGAAGTGCGCATTCGCTTTACGCAATATTTACAACATCTGAATGCGAGTGTTACGAGTGCGAATAAGACGGCACAGTATGCGTTGAAATATAGGGATATGGATGAAGATTTGCATAGTTGCATTCTGGAACAACTGGAGAAAGTACGTCTATATTTTTTTTCTGGTGTCTAGAGATTGGATCTGTGGGATTCAAGAAGGAAGCGCGTTTCTGAAATTTTATGACAGCGACTTGGGTTGTTAAAAGAATGTAGCTGACCTGAAATTCAGAATTCTATGAACAATAGGGCAAATATCATGTTTTTCATCGAAATTTTATGCGACATGGCATCGAGAGAAGGACACGATGATTATGTACGCATGATGCAAAGAGATATTCTACGGGTAGTTGATGCCGTTGCGCCAGAAGATGGATCCGGAGCAGCCAATGTTAAAGTAGTGCGCAAGGTTCTCCAAGGCCTTCAACAAAAATCCTTCCTCTTACCTCAAACTGTTACGGAAATTGAGGAATGTCTCAAGGAACGCGATACCCAACCCGACGCACTCATGTCTTCTCCGCCCGCAAACGAAGCCAATGGAAATGGAACCTCACAACATGCTACTCCCAAACAAGCTAAACCAAATGGAGTAGGGAGATTGGATAAGAGACAGATTGAACAGAGAATTGAAGAGGATCGTGAGAGACATAAAAGATTGAGAGAACATATCTGGGCTGTACCGGCCTTGGGACCCAATTCGGAATTCGATAAGTTGTGGGATGAAACGAGCGATTTGGGAGATGATGATATGGATTTGTATGAAGAAGAAGCTATGGAGAGAAAAGAGGCCGGAAGGGAATGGTTTAATGAGCAAGTTCATAAAAGTAGACTGGAGGGTCAATCTTGAGTGAAGGGTCACTTTTTCCCGGTCATGGCGTTAAATTGCATCATATGGCGGAGTTCGTGCATTGGAGTTCTACGGTTGTTCAGGTATACCGGGATCATTATGTGGCATATAATTGGACGGCGTGATTATATATAGGTTTGAGGACTTTTGCATCGCGCGGCTATATAGTCTTAGGTGCTCATTTGTATGGACAAGATTGAGGATTCGGCACATACATATGCGGTAATATCATTTTATCTTACAGAGATTTTGTGTTGAGAACTCAGCTTTCAATACAGAAACAGGGAAGTGGGACCTTTGAAATTATGGCAACTATCATGTTCAATAAGCATTTTCGCAAGATCACTTTGATTGCGACTACAAATTTACAATTCCCTCCAAAGTATGGAAGCATCGGGCAACATAAGGGTTCTTACCAGTGTATGCAATATGGCACCTGTGCGGCATATTCATCTTTGCATCCAGCCACAATTCCGCCTGCGAATCTCATATCTTGGATAGTATTTTCTTTCCATTATAATTCCTTGTGTGTTTGAAGACCACGAAATTGGCTTGCTATGACGATCTAGCCACCTTTTAAACCTCGCAGTAGCAGGCCAAGTAGTTCTTAATGTTTGTTGGCTTGAGTCTGTGGGTGAAAAGTCGACAAATAACAAGCACTAACTTCCCCTTGATCTTACTAGAGAGGTTCTCTCGGGGCTAGAGAGCCTCTCATAGCATTATTTGGGGATTCAAGAGAATTCACTTTAAGAATAAATGTTCTTTTGTTCTCTTGCCACGAGTTTCAGTGTCTTGTTGTAGTGTAGTTCGTATCTCTTTTTAATCCTCAAATGACCCTTTTTGAGTTCCACAGGGTGGTAATTTATTTTAGATGGTTTTTCGGAAAGCTATATAGACGGTGTTTTGCGAGGATTTCGGGGTTTTCAGGCGATAGAGAGATGAATTGAGTCGGGAGGAAATAGAGTAGTTGATCCTGATGAGACGCATCGCCTATCAGTTATATCTTTCGCTAAATTATGACCTAGCACTGTAGGTGAAGAGAGACTTTGCACATCTTTAGATTGAAGATTTGATCGTTGGATTTTAGTTAATTACTCAACGATTGCATATTTCACATCACTGAAACACTTAACTTAACATAGAAACTTATTCCTAGCATTAAATATCATTAAACAAAGCGAGAGCTACTAGGGAGCTCTTTTCACAGATTCCTAGCCAAATAATATGATATTGACCTCTACAAGATAGACAAAAGGTTATTTCAAAAGCGGTGTTCTGTCTTTCAATCTTCTTCTAGAGGCTGGATTCTGAACCAAATTCATCACCTTCTTTATTCCACGTTTCTTCTCTATAGGCATAGACGCCTCAGAAACTGAGGAGTCACTGAAATCGTCGTCCGAGAATATCGAGAGTGATTTCTTGCAGGAGGTGTGGGTTTCGATGAAGAACCATCAGTCACATCTTGGGGACGTCGTTTGGGGGTAGATAGTGGCTTTGATGAAGCTGGCTTCCTCGAAGAAGGCGCTGTGTCTGATTCTGAATCTCGTTTTTCATTGCTTCGCCCTCGAGGAGAATGCGTTTGAGAGATTTCAGGTGACCTCTCACGACCTGTATGTGAAGGCGGCAATAGTTTATAACACAATTTCAAACACTTTTCAAGGGTTTTATAATCAGAGTTCGCTTTTCCCCATTGATTTTTCAACGCTCGACGTTCCCTGTCTTTACCGGTTTTGTTTTTAAGATCGTCGTCTATGCGTACGTATAGATCATACCGCCAATTACTCGGCGATTTGGAAGGGTTATGTGAAATTGTTGCTAGAAATTCTTTGCGCTCTTTATCTAGTTTATCAAGAGCTTCTGGGGCCTGTCGTTCGCCTTTTTTCAACTCGGACGCTGTAGGTTGCAAGTAGTGGCGGGATGTGTCAAGAAGCGCTAAAGCAGAAAATTCAAACAAAAGCTTCCCCAACCATGCTTCACGTGAAGTTCCATTTAGTTTTAGCATTTTATCGGCAAATTCAAGGGAATCACTGTAGCCGTCACCGGCATTAGCCAAACACACCGCTTTACTCATCGCACCTCTCGCTTCAACGAGTATTTTCCCCCGCGTTGTCTCAAGGTTTGGTTGTCCATCGCGAAGCAGTTCTTTGACTAGGCGCGAGAGTTTAGATTTGCTTTTACTGAACTCCCATTCTTTTTTTCTGTATGTCAAAGGATTTTAATTCATGATGTATCTTGAGATCACGATTATGATCAAAATCTGTATCATCCTGATAAAGGCGACGTATTCACCATCGAGCCATTGTTCCAGAAGATAGTGATAGCTTTCAAATCGAGCGTCTTGTACGTTAGATATTTCCTTACGGAGATTGAGTTTGTAAGTTCTTGCAGCTAACCATACCCAGAACTTTTCAGCTTTTAATTGCTACCCAAGATCTCTCGTCAGTATTTATTATTGGGAAAATCATGGGTAAATACTTACTTCATGCGCCATCCAATCTTCCTTGCCATTAATAGAGATCATTGTGTTCCAAAACCGCTTACCAAGGATTCCAATATCCGATTTATCGAGAGGTTTGTTTTACGGAGCCGCACATGACAGTAAACCATTGCTCGGTGAACTCACACAGAAGAGTACGGTCCCACTGCACAGAATCTCGACACCGTTCATTGAGAAGGTTGACTCGAACAGCATTCTCGTGGGTCACACCAAAGACAAGTCTCGCAACCTCCACGGCTTTTTTGTGACTATCCTCTGTAAATTTCCCAAGTAATATCACTGATTGACCATGTTTTTCATCTTCATCTCGAAATTGATAATATTTGCTGGTGTTACGTTGAAGGGCTAATTTGTAAAATATCATGGCCAAGATCTGGTGGATTAAACTGCCTTTTGATACATCTGCAAAGAGGAAATCCTTCCGATTATATAGTTGTGGCGGGCCATTTTAGAATGCTGTAAGAAAATTTGTCTTTGAATATTGGTCTTAGCATGCCCCACAGCAAACATGTAAGTAAGCAAAATGTAGAAAAACATGCTGAACGGTAAGCTGTAGGTGGAAACGTTGGAGGTTAATTTGAGGATCTCGAAAAGTACGTGCAATGCTTTTCTTAACCCCATAAAATTGAAATTATCGTCAATGTAGGACAGCAAACAACAACTGAAGTTATAATACTGAGGACGAGGGGTGCGATGAATCGTAATCAGGGCAAATGACTGAAATAGAAAGACTTTATTGAATAAGATATCAGCGAATTACACCATTTGCAATACAAGCTGTCGAAAACCATTTTATCCAGCGCTAAACAGTACACGGTGTTACAAAGCAGACCGAATCGGCTATTTTCTGGCCGATATAGCCGAATCCCATAAGAGGCTCGAATTTGAGGTATCTTGCCAGCCCGCCTGCGCTTGATTATTTATCATATGGCAGCAAAAACAAGCATGTAGCTATGAATCTCGTGCGCGAGATTCTCGACTGCAAATAGACTGATAATAGAGGTTGTTATCGTGAAGTAGTTCTACACTTAATATAGCCGCATTTTGCTCGTAATAATCTGGTTTACGCTCTTGTTTTTGGTTGCAGATTTGGGCCTTATTGATTTTCCAGGAAGTGCAGGTCCACTACCTGTGACATTTCCATCGAAAAAGGCTCGGATCTGACTAGTGACTCAGTAAAGCATCGAGAGCCCCGAGAAATATAATCGTGCAATACTAGTTATTCACTACGAAGTCAAATACCAGAGCCCCGGGCATAGAATGCGATGTCATATTGAGAAGTTCCTAATTTTCTCATCCCACGACAGGTCTAATAGCCTCAACACTTCAATAACATTTCTCAAATTATCAATATTATGATCCCAAATGTAGGATTCATCCTTCGTAGCCTTGTCGCTATGATGGCCATCGAGGAACGACTACCCCAAGGCTATTGACAAGCAGACACTACATATTTTTGACCGAGTCATTTTTGGGGCCAATTATTATCCAATTTACAACTCCATGGAAAAAGATCTGAGGACCAAAGCATCACTTACCGATATATCAAAATGGAGCATCAAATAATGGAGGACGACTGATAAAACAGTTTGAGGGGAGTGTGTCAGTTGCTTGGAGGTATGTGTATTCAATAGGTTAATTCTTCTCGCCTGAAAAGTTTGTAAGCACGAACACAGGTGACAGCATGCACATTCATATATGATAGGAGGTGTGTAACTACAACGCATTATATTCCACAAGCTCAACTCAATTAGAAAGTCAGGCTTACTGTCCACCCGTGATGTCTTCCACCCAGACTCTTAGCCTATCTAATATCATAGTTCAATCACTAAATTGAATATTTTGTTTTCGTCTTCCACCATACGTCTTATCTCAGCAACAATTTTATTAAGCCGAATTGAAATTTCGATAATTTCTCTATCCATTTCATGACGTGATCTAAGATCATTATTCGCCGTTGCTCGGGTCATGGCCACTTGCAATCTGGGGAGTCTAAGCCTCAGCCGTGTAGCAGTCTCCTGATCTTCATCAATCTGAACATCTAGTTTCTCTATCATGCCATCAAGGTCCCTTTTCGCCTGTAGGAACCTGGCGAACATTGCTGAACTAAGCCGCCTGTATGCGCTAAGATGCTTGAAATTCCTAACCAGTTGGTCGACCTCCTCTAGTGATATTTCAGCGCAATTCGTTTGCTGTGTATTACAACACAATATCATAAGAACTTACTCGCAAGGATGTGTCTGCCAGAATCAGACATAATGAGGATGCCACCTGATTCTTGTGTAAAATCTCACAACGTTGACCTGTTGAGCTATGGCACTGACAAATCTAGATCTGTGATTTGATGGCGGGTGAAGGCCAAATAAGTAAGATTTGGATAACAAATTCGGAGGTATCAAATTGACATAGATCAGTGTAGATGAACAATAGGGGATGTCTGAAAGACGCGTAACTTGTTTTGACAGGAGGTTTTTGAAGTTTTCAGTTTTGTTATTTGGTGTTTAATGTGCGGTTGTATCTGAGGATTGAACGTAAGTGGGCTAGAATATCGAAACTGTTCAACGCATCTTTAGAGCGTTATTGGTATGGTGGAATTAAGAATCATTCCATGACCATTGCATCTCCAATCATATCATGTACTGCGTCACAATTCAGCATTGGAATCACTTCTCCTCGAAGAATGCGTCACGATACGTTCGAAGGACTTCTCATGTCAGTGCATGATGCATTTCAAGTCATTTCTGTTAACCCTACCGGTTTAATCACTGGAAAAAGGAAGCCATCAATCCTATGACAAATCTACAGAACTCATGAGTTCCGAAACAATGACTAACTCAAAAATGTTGAGTCAGCGCTCTATGGGCTGCTAATTTGGATCTTGAAGTGCATATATCTGTGTCATAATCATATCACATATCTTACAGTCAGAGTTTAACAAAAATGCGTTCTGTTGTGAAAGCTCGTTCGGTTACTTGAAAAGCCATGCATTCTACCACGCAATAAAATCACTCCGCTTTTGCTCTTTAGCACTTGTCACTCCATCACTGAACTGTCAAAACTGTGAAGGATTGAGACAGGTCTGAGGTGGAGCGTATGTAAAAAAGGTGTTAGGATTGATATGAATTCCAATCACGAGCAACGCCTCTGTAGCACTTCTTTATGACTGGCTTAATCCTGTATGTTTGCATACCATGACCTGGCTGTAAGCGCTTGATCAACCTATCCAGATATACTCTATCTGTGAACAAACTCCACAATTTGATCCTTCCCACACCTTCAAATTTCTCGCATTTCTCCTGCAGAGCACCCTCCAGCAAGTTCTTAATAATCTGATGTTCTCTTCTATTCACAGGAGCTTCAACTTGCTCCGACTTTATTTCCCAATATTGCTTCATTCTAGATTTAATTTCTTTCTCAAGAATTTTTTTTCGTGGTTCAAGGAGTTTTCGTCACGTAGTATTTCGTTTCTTAACTTCTCGGCTTCATCATGACAACTGCGACGAGTTTCATAGTATAAGCTGTTCGGGACGTCGCCAAGATTTCTTATTAATTGCAATAAGTCCATAACACGACCTAATAAAAAGTCAGCATTGTGTTAATTGAATAGAGATTGTATAATGCTTTACTAGTGTATTTGGTATTTTTTGTGTATTCAAGCTGGGTTGTGAGTTCTGGCATCAGGGCTTGAAAGCTCAAATTGACAGATGGAATATCAGACATATCAATATTTGTTGACAAAATATGTATTCAGCAGTGTAGTTGAGAGAAATATGTCAAAATTTGAGGCCGAACAAACGAAATTTAATGATGTAAGAATGAAATACCGATGAATCGCGAAAGTTGACTGGATATTGCTAAATGATGTTCGCGTTTTTGTTTCCACGAAGGGTCGATGAGGATTTCGGTGTGTTGTCTTGTAAGTTTCTGATTTGATGTCTGATGTTTGATGCCCAATCGTTTCTGGATATTAAACGAATTTGAGTAGACGGGAACTCGAAGTTTTTATGCTCTCTTGAGCTCTCTAAGGGAAACCTCCAGTCATTCCAAATCACTGTGTCATTCAGTAAGAAATGCTTTGTGAGTCACGCTGTATCCCATAAACCCCCTAAATTTCTTTAAATGACTGCGTTGAACGACCCCCTCTCCAATGCGATTCGAATCATAGTTCATCCTTTTCTTTTATGTCTTTCAAAATGACAATAGCATCAGTTTCACGTGAATATCAAAATCATAGATTAGGAAAACTTGACATCAAATCATGTTACACACAGGTCACGTTTGACAGACGATTTAATAGAGGTTGAACTAGAATTCACTTCATTGTAAAAACTCGGCTACTCTGTAAAACCAGGCATTCTGCGATACAAATAGATCCTCCACTCAGGCTCTCTAGCAGCATAATTTGGTACTTAATGCTACACTGCCTCTTTAACTGCAAAGTCTTCCGCTCATCCCCTTGATACATCTGGACCTACCTATATCCAAAGGCTGTCACACTCTTTAAATCTTCATGGATAGTAGCACTATGCAAATCTTATCCATTCAAGTTCTTGACGCCAACTTTCTACAAAATGTAGATGTGAAGCTAAAGTTGCCAGCTGATAACGCAAAACACTGATTTCCTCCTGTCTATTTTGCAACATGTTGTCTCTTATGACTCGCATTCGATCTCCCCAGCGTAAAAGACTCCTGAGCCCATCTTGCAATCCACGGAGTCTGATCTCTAATACACTTCTTTCATGGCGGAGATTTTCCAACAGACGTACCACACTTCCCTGCACACGCACATGAATTTGTTGGCGATTAGAACATTCCGTCGACATTTCTCTGAAATTTTGCATATCTCCTCTTATGGAATCGAAATCTTCTAAAAATACGGTCAGTATACTGCATTCTTAAGATGTTAAAGTAGGAGGAGCCTACCAGAATTACCTGTGACGTGATCTCTCATCTGTGGACATGATGATGGTTCGTAACAGTGATAATGGCTATGGCTTGGCCGAGATAAAAGTCTGAGAGTACTTATGCGAGAACTCGTTGGACAAGAAGGTAGATGGATGAATGTTGAAGTACCTCAGGGATCGTACCTGTGTTTGATTTATTGACGAGCATCTACTGTTGTGTTGCCTTGCTTTTGATTTTTGCTTTCGCTTTCGAAATTCGACTTTGCTTGGTTTCTAAACTTCCACCTCGAGGGGAACTCCCAGCCTATTTGAGCACTCCAAAGCAGCTCTAAGGCACCTCAAAATGATTATACCATTGACTCTTAAATCATATCTCGGGTGACTTGTCCCTGAAAAACATCCCAGACAGACTCATAACTCGACATTCGACTCATTATCCAGGCGCATTCTGCAAGAAAATCATAAAATCCACCATTTCAGTCACGATTTCTCTCGAAAAGGCTCATGTCGAGGTGATTCTGGAGTCAAAATACATTTTTTGATTGATAATCGTCGAAACCACACTGAAAAATTGGACCTCCAGTCATCTTTCCTGAATTAAAGCTCGCAGAAAGGTATGAAATAAACGTCGTAGTGTATCTTTACTCATATCATACACCATACCAAGACAAATTCGAGACTTCGAATCATATCAGATTTCTTCTCTCGAATCATGCTTTATACAACATTACTTTCGAGTCATTACCGAAATCAGAGATTGGAAATTTCAGACCTGATTATCAATCACACCCATAGTCAACTTTGACTCGAGCTTTCTCAAATCATAATGTAATCTTACATGAATCACAATAATAAGTACAGAGATGCCTCATATGAATCCTGGAATACTTCCAGCTCTCACTCACACGCCGACATATGAATTCAGCCACCGACGCATATCGAAAACTTAGCACTCCTTCCCGCCTTCAACTCTTTCCAACTTCCCTCCATGTTCCCCTCTTCGAATTATCTTCCTCTCATCAGAATCCCCCCAAAATCTGTAGGGACCATAGAATCCCCCAAACGAACTCAAGCTCCAATCCTTCGAACGTTCAAGCCTCAGTAACATTTAAAGCTCAACCTATCCATCCAAATACCTACTTAAGCACACAAACAAAAACTCAACATCCAAAAGTCCTATTCGTCACTGCAGTATCTGAAAAGCTCACGCCATCAAGACCCCAGGAAACACAAAGTTTGAGGGCAAGGAACGAAGCAAATAACTATACTATTCTTGCAACGATATAAAACCCAACAAACCCTCCCAAATAACTTCCATACACATCCACATCCAAGAAAATTCACACTCCATCCCCCACGAAACCACAAAACGCTCTCAGCGACGACAAGCTATCCCCAGACTACCCTTCCATTACAATCTGATTACATTCTCCTACCCTCCCATTCTCCCACCCTCATAATACAATCTTCACAAAACATGTACACCATCAAACCATCAAACCCCACCAAACACTACCTCCCACAAAATACCATACACCACAAAATCAACTCACCCATTCTCCCAGCCATCTTCTCCCCCCCTAAAAATTAGGGACGTATCCTATCCAATCGAACCCCACCAACACCACTTCTTAGCGAGCTACCATCTAAGTACCTGTATACCCATACACCCCTACACCCATAAACCCATATACCAACCAACGTAGCACAGCGATCACTCAATGCAGCCCACCAATCAAAAAAGAATTCCGATATCAATCTCAATATCAATGAAACGATAATTAGCGAGTAGCACTACCTACCCACGTACCAACTTGTGTTTCCTTTTGCACGCATTGGCGATCACTCGATACATCCATCACATATCACAACAAAAATCCCAATTCCCACACCTCTATACCAATCATCTCCACATCCATCATTACACAAGAAAACCACACAGCATCTAAAAGAACATTCAAAAACAAATACTTAACATAAAATAAAAAAACTCCTTTGTAATTCAATTCATGATATATAAATGTCCCCACCCCCAAAAATTCTTCAACCCAATAATAATATCCATGACGATATCCATGCCATATAATTATTCTTCATTTCAACGAATCCCATTACTGAAGTTGAAGGAAAACCCTAGGAAGAAAAACCCCTAAAATAAAATAAACCGTAAATGATAGGAGTAGAATACAAGAAAATACAGTAGTCAAGTATAAACCCGATCATAACAGTCATAACCTTCGTAGCTCTATTAAGCTTTTGTTCGTTTCTTTCATCATGAATCCTTTTCATGTCTCATCGTGTGGGTATTGGGGATGGCATTCCGATCCATCCACGTAAATAAAAAAACAAAGCCTTCCTGCCAAAACCAACGATATTCTTTTCCCCAAATATACGCCTGATGTTGTGTCGTCCAAAAATTCCAAGAAAAAATAACAACGGAAGCATTATGCAAATAGCGTAATAAAAGACAATCCCCAACCATCATCTCATAGTACAAACCAAGATCCGACCTATCCACCTCATCAAAATTCCTATCTTTTATCATCCGATAATAGACTATCCCAAAGAATATAAAAAGCATGCCTTCATGCCTAATCCCTTCCTGGTATCTGATCATAATTCATTTACTACGTCTCGAATACTCCATCTCCAGGAGTTTCCTTCAGTGTTGCGCGCGGCGCCGACCCATTTCTCACACTTTCTCCTCCAGCGCTCTTCCTCCTCTCTCTGTCGCCTAACAAATTCTGGACCGACATCAAATTCTTCACCAACAAGCCAATCGCTGAGACCACTGGCACCTTCACCTTTCATACCAGAAACTTCATCAGACTCTTTAGAGGGCCCCTCCTCAAGATCAGGAACATCCTTAAAGACATCTTCCTCATCTTCGAGCGCATCAAATCCATCCATGGTATCACCAGATTCACTTTTTGCTCTTTTGTTGTCCCCTGGCATTTTAAGCCAACACATACGTTGCGGGTCAAAGACCATTCCGCCAACAACTTGGACATTCTGGGCAGAGTTTATATTGGTGATAAGCGCAGGACGAGGTGTCGAGCATTCCTTTTCCCGATATATTTGTGGTGCTGTCGTTCTTGGTGTCTGTACAGGTATTGACGCTGTCGGGGTTGCAGAAGCTGGCATATCAAAGGCCGATACTTCAATTTCGTTGCCTTCCCATCGGTAGTTAATAGGATCATATTGCATTCCTTTTACAGCTACAAAGAAAGATTAGCGGTAGTTTCAGAAGTTATGCGGAGGGTATACGTACATCTGGGATTGTTTACATTTCCCATGGGCTTAATAAGTTGTGGCTTTTGGGGCACCTTATTCTTTTTTGATCGAACTGAACCTTGTACATGAACCGGACTGAGTCCAGTTGTTGCTGAAACCTTCGCCCTCCATTGATTTGTAAGAGCAGCAAGAGGAGCACCAGACCCAGAGACAGTGCGATGAGATGATGTTGCTTCCCGAGCCATGCGGCTGGCGGCAGTATCGCGCGCAAAGCGCGGCAATTCACTCCTGCTTTTCGCTGGTGTCAATGGTGTTAGAGGTATAGGCGATGGGTTTCGGATGGGCATAATGTGTTGATGAGCTCTGTTGCGAAGTGAAAGCTGTTTAGGCGGGCCACGGCCGATTGGCTCTTTGACGAACCTTTGCTCTGCATCTCGTGAAGTAGGTAGATCATCAAAAGCATCAAGTTCACAGCCATCACCAAAATGTCTTCGTCGAACAGGTTTTGTGATTTGTCGCTTCATAGTAGCTTCACGAGCAAGCATATCGGCGCCCCGAAGAGATCTGCGCGGACTGGGCGATCGAAACGTTTGCCTTGAAAGCGTTCTCGATGGTGGACGAAAATCGGCGCTATTGGTTGAGGACTCAGAATCGTTACGGCGAAGATGCCGGGACGTTTTTGCAGTGACATGATGTGATTGAGAACTGGAAGCACCACCAGCAGGTAAGAATGGAACATGATTTTTCCTAACAAAGGACATGCTAGACTCAGCTCCGGATCGATCTTTTTCGACAGGTTCCTTGGACCGAGACATTGAGAGTGGCCTATTATAGACTTCCGTTCGAGACTGAGGTCTCTCATATCGTGTAGGCATTGGCTTAGCTGGCGAAGGCTGATAAGTCTTCATGGTTGGCATTGACCGCTTGAGCTTTAGTAGTTGGGAACTGGTCGTTGTAGGCTCATTGCGCAGAGTTGATGTGGATAACTTTGCGCCTAGTTCACGACGCCGAGGAGTTGATGGAGGTATTGGATGATTAGAAGATGATGCGTTAGACAATCCAATACTATTGATTGAAGAATGGACTGAATTTCCCAACCTAGATTGCGACCTACGGTTTCGACTTGGTATTGGCCCACCACTCTCCGAAACTGGTTCGAGAGATGATGGAATACGTTCATGTCCATGTGGCCTAGGGAGTCGGGAGGTGGAAGGAAGCGCAGGTTTATTTGTAAAAGTTAATGAAACCGATGGCTTGGGTCGAGTTGGGCTTTGTTGTTTAGCAGGGTTAACCTTTACGTTACGATTTAATGTGAGCTTCTTCGAATCGAAGACATCCCCATCGCCAATCTCAAGCCCGGTCAAAAAGTCATCCTTTCCACCCAAACTTTTTCTTGGTTGCTTTACCTCTACTGGACGTTCTGGCCAATCATTTAATTGACGCCTCTTGAGAATATCCTCGAAATTGAGAGGGCCACTCGGTAAGACTAAACCTTCAAGACCTTCATCTTCACTCTCAGCAGTCATGGAACTGGCGATACTGGGGCTCATCGCAAAGGAATCTGAGTTCCTATTGGATCGACCGTCTCTTTTTGTTCCACCAAATCGAGTACCTAAACTGCCTTCACCCCAATCGTCAAAATCGTCCTGGATACTCTGGGGGGTCTTCGGGATATCTTTACGAGATGTGAGCTTCAAAGCTCCATCTGAAGGAAGTTGTAGATCTTGTTCGAAATCTTCTTCGGTTTCCTTACATTTCTCTGGTTTCGTTGATGTGACAGAAGGTGCCATAGACTGGGGGTTCCGTATCTTTGCAACTTTTATAGTTGCTTCGCCATCTCCAAAGAAGTCATCGTCCTCCTCATCTCTGTAGCGATCAAGCATGTTCGACGATGCCGCCTTCGTTTTTAATTCGGGTCTTGGGCTAACATGGAAGATCGGAGCAGCCATCAATGTCTTCTGTGGACTTAGAGATCCAGAGCCGCTGACTTGACGTAGTGTTTCTGGGAATTGAGACCCATCTTGTTGTTTGATCTTTAGGGCTTCTCCAATTGGTACTTCGATATCCCCATCATCCCAATCATCTGAAATCACTTTCCTTAATTTTCTTCCACCAAGTCTCTTTATACTTCCTCCTAATAAAGCCGAGGAAGGTACGTTTTCTGGTAAAGGTATACCGGCTCTTTTAGCTGTAGCGATCGCATCGTTCATGGCTCGTTCGTCGTCTTCTGGTAAATGTACTTGTCGTTCCTCGTTGTAGTCCGATCTTATCGATAAACGTGAAGAAACCGATTCTCTGCGTGTCGACGCAATGGTCGCAGTTGTTGCTGCTGAAGCACTGCGAAATGTAAAATCATCGCCCCCAGTGTCAAGGTCATCATCATCCCAGTTTTCCACATCGTCCTCCACGGGTGCCCGCGGCTTCAATACCAATTGATCCATTTCGAGCCCGATTGTGTGTCGCAAAAGATCGAAAGTTTGATGAAATATTGCGACCGTGTACTACTTCTCAATTATGAGCTTCAAGATGAGTTGAAGTTTTTCAATCAGCTTAATCGCGGGTAAGTAACTATCGTGAATTCATGTCGTAAAAAACTTGCAGATCGGAATGTTTTTTTGTTGACGTTGTCGTAAAGGAGGAACTGCAACTGTAATTTGCTTTGTTTTGTTTCGTGTTGATTGAATAGCGAATGAATGTATGAGTGAATCAGTGCATTCGTGGTCGCAATGGTGATTCCCTGGTTTCGAATTTGTGGTGCTCGGTGTGCTCGGTGCTTGGATCTTGTTATTTTGAGTTCGCTGGCTTCAATTGAAATGAGTATCAGGATCGTGTGGATTGATGTTGATGTTTTCTTCCACCTTTGCTGGTATCAAACCTCCAGCGCCCTTTTGAGGGCAGGTAGCAAAGAATTGTTGTTGGAAATTCGAAAGGCGATGAATCTCTTGACACTCCTGGCGGGTGGGTATTGAATGTTGAAGTGGGTTGAAAATTTAGTTCTCCGCTGTATTCAGTGTTCACGGGGGATTGAGTGGATGAGTCGAATGATTGAAGCTCTGTGGCTGGCTACTTTGAGGAAAGAATCATGGGAATTGACCAGCCACGAGGATTTGATGCGAAGAAGAAGGAATGATTGGGTGCATTAAACGAAGAAAAATGAATAAATGAAGATTAATCGCGACGCGTCTGTTTCTCTTGACGGGATTGGTGCTATTTGCTTTATTTGGGTTGATTATTGATATTAAATTGATTCTTTTATTTTTGGTGGATTTGTTATTGGATCTATAGTACGGATGATATAGATGGACCGTATGGTATCTATGGTGTCGTATTTCATCTGAGTGTACCCGTCCGTACCCGTACTATTGCGATGGATCATATCATGTATATAACAACCAACAAGAACTACCTCTTTCCTCACTCCTCGTACCGAGCTGAATGGAAGTAAAGTCTGATATCTGTCATTAGGCAGAATGGGAGTGAAGTGAGCAATAGAAAGTCAATTCCTCATCGTTGCCTGATCTACCAGCAGATCTACCATTGATATCTACCTACCTACGTATCGTAGCAAATAGTAAATAAAATTGATTATATCATCATCACATTTGTTTGTATTTAATTCATCTCGTGGAAAATTTAATACGGATTTACATCTCCCCTTCCCTTATTGATCCTTTGATTCGGCTTTCTTGTTTCATCACTCCCATCACCAACCAACCTTATTAAACCGAATCAGATCAGCACCAGGAATACAGCCGTAACCATACTATGGCGGCGAAGCAACTTCCAGCGGTTCTTCGCATTACATCGAGCGCTACGAACCAAGATGAAGTTTTTCTTCTTCACGTCGAGTCTGCTGGGTCGCGACCTTTAGATCTCAAGTTAGTTGGGACGGATGGTGAACTCGTATTTGCGGTCTCAGGTAAGCTCCGACCTTTGTTTGGATCGTCCCGCGCTGGAGGTCCCTGATTTTCAACCCTGATTTTCACATTCATGCGTTAATTGCGGGACCTCAAATTAATATTAATCTTCATTCTAGTAAAACACAGCAAATTATCTGCACTCAAGTCGAAGAATTCTCCATGTAGCGACGAAGGATGGATTCTGATTTTGTCATCCATTCTGCTTCATGAGCCGCCGAAGGAAGGGAATGAGAATGTGACCAGAGGAGTTGAGATTCATGCTAAAGTGGAGAAGAAAGCCGTGACCCTCGTGATCCAAAAAGTTATTGAAGGGATCAAAGTACGTATCCTCCCAGTCATTATGTTGGCAATCTTATCATATTACATACTAATTATACATCAGCAACGTCTCGGCGCAATCAAACTGGATGAAACCGAAGAAGAAGAAATTGGCCTTTTCGAATGGTGCGCTCTAGCAACAAAGTCGGCAGATTCGGCAAAGGATGAGCTGGAAGCATTACAAACTAAGTACAGGGAACAGCAGAAAATGTTGGATGGACTCAATGAAACTTTCAGGGAAGTAAATAAAACAAAATCCGACTATGAGATTCAGCTGTTGGAGAAGTTTAGCCTCTTGCAGAATGAGAAGAAGCTCAAAATAAGGGACCAACAAACCTTATTAGCAAGCGCCAAAGTTGATCCAGAAAAAGTCGATACAATGCGAGCTACAAGATCTGGGAAGTTCAGAACCGCCGGCACATCGAGAACTGGGAAGCGTAAAGCCAGGAAGGAAGCGCAGGCTGAAAGCTCAGATTCAGATGATGCTTTTGAAAAAATGGATATTGACAAAAAGCAACAGGAGGATGATATCGCCGATGAATCCGACCAACAAGGGATACAAACTCCTGATCGCTCGGATGAAGAGACTGAAGATGAGGCAGACGCTCCACAGTCAAAAGCTCAGCGTCGTACGGGAAAAAATATCGTTCAAGATGATTCGGATGAGGAGATGCAAATAGCGCCTAAATCAACAGAGACAACAAAAATCGCCGAGCTACCAGCTAAAAGGGAACTACCATTTGCCAAAAAGCCAGTTCCGGTACCTGCAGATGATGGATCTGAGACCGAATCGGGCTCGGACGATGAACTATAATAGACATTCTCATTCCAATAAGAATTATCCTTCAATGAATAACGGGTCAAATCAATGAATGTCCCAAACTGTCTCATCGACACTACACAACATACAATCGTGATTGGACCTCGCAAATAATATGAATCTTCCCAAGCGCAAACGATATGCAAATCATAATCACGATTTCAATTCTCAATTCCCATTCACGCACTTCATTCACTTGCAGCAACTCGGCAATCCCAAAGCTAAAGCTCCACAGTGACTCGTGCGTATCCCTGACAACCACCATCTCGAGCGGGATTTACAGAGTTGACGATATAACGGTGGGGGAAATTGTGCATGTCGCATGCACAGGTGGGGTGAAATATGTATGCACTCTATGCACCACGAGAGTGTGGATATCACACCGACATTTCTACATGCTGTGAAGAGGGGCGTTACTGGGTGATGATTCTGTCCCATCGTGTGGCGGGGATATATAAGGGACCTGGAAGTCTTTTGAGGAATGGGTATTGTGTGAACAATGATTGAAAGAAAGGCTGGCGAGAGTCGGTGGTGGTCAGTATATGGTGTGTGCGGCGATGTGGCTGGAAGCTTTGGGGGCCGCAAAAAAATTTGAAGGTGGTAAATAAATAATTTCCAGCCTTCTTTTGTTTCTGTGGCAATACTATCTTGCATCAAATATATCATTTCATGCCAGCCTCCGTCAAGTGATGGAGGTTCTTCGTGGTCATGGAGTCTTGACCGCACTATCATATCAATCCCCCGAAGATAATTTAAAATTTCACATCTAATTACTATTAATATCTCATCGAATATGATAATTTGTCTGATAAGCAGCTTGATTTTCGAGATTTTTTGGACACACTCTTATTAGATTCTATCTGCCAGTATATCTACTCATACTCATGGTATAATATAATACATTTGAATTTTTCACTGTTGCAATCCAGGGTACCAAATTTCGCAGTGAGCATCCAAATCGCTCATTCATTAAGACGGTCCATTTGCTATACTCGTCCATGTTAGGGCATGCACAAGAACAATATTACACTACCGAGATTACCAACCCCATGGCTACTGTTACACACACTCTACCCTGCACTTTCACCCCATCAGTAACAGTAACAAACTACAATAATACTCTTCATCTACGCTTGTGAAAGCAAAGCTGAATGAGAGATCAAGTGAAATTCATCAAATAAAAAAGACTCCCTTTCGGTCTGCAAAGAAATATGCATATAGCACACGTATATTGTGAATTAGCTATATACTATCTGAAGTACATGAAGCTGTCACATACGACCATAGACTGAGGAGAATTGGGCATCCCGTCCGCTCTGCCATACACAAGCCTCAGATCGGTAGATTAGTAGTTGGGTGGGTGACCACCAGCGAATCCCTACTGTTGTATGTTTCTCTCATTTTGTTACTTTGCTATTGTTTTGATTGTTTTTTTGTACAAGTACCTCGCTAGGTATGAATGAGTGGATGAGAGTAGATTTTGATTTTGATAAGTAGGAGGGGGAGGGGTGTACTAAAATTTTAGGGTGCTTCTTGGAGAAGACAAGAAATTGAAAGGGCAGTTAATAGGTTAGAAATTATCTGGGTACGATGTAGGGAAGGATATTTTTGGCTGACGCAACTGGAAACCGAGTATATATTTCGTAGCGATATCAAGTGGCTTGGTATCTTGATTCTGAGGTGAAGTGTAGGTAGCTGATGCATTTTTGCAGAACTATGGGAACATGAAAAAAGGGAAATGATAGTAAAATATGATTTTCATTTCCTCACAGAGATGTGATGTCAGGTATCTGAATCAGAGAACCACAAAGTAGAAGATGTATGATGTGCATGCGGTTCATTGACCTGTTCTTAATGTGAATATGTCACGACTGTTTACTCGCGGGACTCTGAATCCGGTGGAATGTTGAGATGATTCCGATAAGTTGAGAAGATTGTCTGACAGTTCCATCTTATCGTGTGCTTTTCGTAAATCTGTTCGATTTAGTTCTTGCATTTCATTCGGGATGAAGTTGAAGCTGGACGTAATGAATACATATATTTATTGTGGTGCGTTGTGATTCTGAGAAAATCTTGTCATGGAGCATCGTTTGAGAAAGTTGAAGGTAATGAGTTTCCCAGTACCTGCGATGCTAAGATGTCACTTCGGTCTTGGTGATTGTTCATATTCTAGAGAGAAAATCAACTGGGAAGCAGAGATTCAGGACTTCCTCGATGTCAGAATCAGAATCGGTGACTGTGAGGATTTTAAAATTGACTATATGTGAAGCTCTGCGAGGGGATTTGCTTGGATAGAGGTACAAACGCAATTTAGAAAGCACGCGGTAAGGCCCCGAAGTATCTTTTACATGATTTAAAGAAAACCACACCGCATACACGCATTAGGAAAACGAATTGCTGCAAATGTGAACGAAGTTAAAAGGAGTAATTCGAATATTAAAAGTGGTGGTGGTTGATATAAATATTATACATACTCCGAGCCAGAGTTTATGGGTAATATGGTAGAAAAAGTGGTGGGAGGAGGTGGGAAACGAGAGTGTCCTGAATGATCAATAATGTCTTTCTGGAGTTCGATTGGTGAGGTGCTTGTTCTCGAAATACTTCTATGGTCTCCTCGCTAATAAATCATGAGGTTTCCTGAAAGAGTGGTCTTGTCTATTGTGTGTAGAGCTCTCATAAATACAATGTGCTCCTCCCCTGGAGCTGCATGCGAATAGCCAAGAAGAGGAGCTAAATTTTCGAAAGCAGAGCTTGCTTCTATTGAGGGATGTATGGATTAATATGTAGGATGTTGAGTTTCTAATGACGATGTGTATCTGCTACATGTCTTGGCTGATGAGAAGATCTGAATGGCAGATACGTCAGTACATATAGGGTGCAGGTACGACTTGAGGATAGAGATGGGCTAGTAATTCGATTATTGTTAAAGGAGAAGATAAGTGCTAGGTAATCATTGATATGCGAAGATAAGTAGGGCATCAGGAGAAAACGTTGGTCTCGGATAAAGAAGTAGGTATGGTCAAAGTTTGAGCAGTGTTATGCATGATATGAACAGTGAGCAATTGCATGTTCTGATACAGCTAGGTCTATACTTTGGTGTAGTAGCACATTTTAAAAGTATAGTAGATAGCTTTGCATATCTGAATTTGACTGCTAGACGTATCATATGATAGACCTCCTCAAAGGAAAACCATTGATTGGTAGCCTTCCTGCCATTCTGCACCACTCCGTTATACTTGATTACGAACATGTGGTTGTGAACAGTTGTGAAAATAATCCTAATTCTCAAAACTGCCCACTCATCTCCTCGTACCAATTTGGTAACCTGAAATGATCTACTTTTTTGACTAATATCCAAGAGTAGGCGTTCGAGTATTAATTGTGCCCGTTATGTATATGTCGCTCACTGACTGACGCTTTTATACCCTCTATGATGTTTAATTCGAGGTGAAGATCTCTTCATTGAAATAGATTGGTTCAACTATCATTCATCTCGGATAATTTACGACATTCGTTGTGAACTCTTTTGCGTGACAATATCGAAAATCAGAACGAGAAAATTCTGTTGGTTTTCACTTCCAAATGCAGTAACGTAGACGCTCCCAAAATTAGACTACCTCCAGAGAACGAGATATAGAGCTTTACGAAAGGCCTTCCATGTTAAAAAAAAGTTTCATTCCAATGGTCTGGCGGTAGGAAGGAATCGAATTTTCTCTGCTATCCTGCCTGCCCAGCCACTACTATGGGTTGTAAGAAGCCAATCGAAGATTCTTGATTCTACCGTTCCCAACACCGCTTCAAATATATATTACCTGCCATCTTGCAAAGCACGATTTGCCAATTTCTCCGCTTCTGTATTATCCTCTCTCGGGACGCTCCAAAAACGAACCAAAACTTTGTGCTCCGCAAGATCCAAAATAGCCTTGTCAATCTTGTCTATCAACTCACGGTTAACGACCTTTTCACCCTCGGAACTTTCAAAGCCATTTTTGCGCCATAACCAAATCGACGTGGTGAAGGTGTCATAAACATATGTTGAATCCGTCATGATAACGATTGTGAATGATCCTTCACGCTCGCTAGTGGACCGCCAATTTTCAAGGACTGAGCTGTTTATGAGATTCAGTGCAAGATCAACGGCAACCAGCTGCGCGTAGTCTTTAGTTTGCTGTCCCCCATCAGATCCCTCTATCGTTTCGTACGTATTGAAACCTGAATCCTCCCCGAAGAATATCCCACAAGATGATTTGCTTCCCGAAGCATTCCCACCTTGAGGACAAGCTCCATCAACAGCAACCACCAAGCTCTTCTTGTCACCAGCCATCTCATTTGCATCATGAACATGAGAAATCCCAGAAGTTTGATCATAATAAATAAATCTCTTAGTATTTCTACTAGCCGGGGAAAAGTACTGATGGAGATCAAATTTGCGCGAGAATATCTGCTGATCCTCCAAAGATCTTTCCTTATCCCGCCTAGCCTCTCGCATTAGATACTTTTCCAACATCTCGAATCCCAAGTAAGAAGATTGGCCACTTGCTTGGAGGTATTATTGATGGAAGATAGTGGGTGGATGTTAGTGATCTCTCATGTTGTGATAGGATTGAGGAAATTTGTTACTGTTGCGAATGACTAAGCAAACTAACTTGAGCACGACTCCACCAGCTAATTCACCAGCACCCTCGTGTGGGAATACACAAAACCCAGCACACTCTTTTAACAACACTTCTACTTCAACATGAAACAGCAATCCAACAAACCTTCAAAAAATTCCCCAAGCAACTCAAAACATCACAAACCACAAGCCTCGCAATTCCAGAAAACACATCGCATCTTAACACCTAAACGGTCTATACCAACAAACAAGGATAATAGTCGGGGTTTCAAGCGGGGAAAGCGAGTATCCCGAGTTGACCAGAATCGATTGAATTGACGTCATTTAATAATCCCAATACCGTTATATTGCCAGATAGGACTTTGTTGGATACAAATTGCTATTTTTCTTGAAGTTATTTCAATCCGTTTCTAGGCCAGAAACAAGGTATAAGAACACTTGTTTTCCACATTTAGTACTAGTCAGCCGCTTGAAGGGCCGACTGTCAGAGGATATTCTTGGATGTGCTAGTATTTCTGTTCTCGGTGTATCCGCGTTTTAGCCTAATTCATGGTCGCCTACTGCAAAAACATTCAGCAAGTTCTAGTACCTTGTCATTGTGCCCTGACTAGGTATTGTCCTAGGCCCTCGAAGCACATTTTAGTCATGTCACTTGCTCGATACAGGGTGCAACCCAGTAAGATGAGGTCATACATGCATCTTATCATATTCACTAACGCTGAAACTCAGGATTGGTATTGTTGATGGCATAAGACGGCTAAGAGGTAAGATGCCAGTAAAAGCACAAAAAATCTAACCTCGCAATGAAGTGGAATGAAGTCCAATGATCAGATGTATTTGCCAAATACTCCTCGATTTTTCCACCAATCTTCCCATCTATGACCTATCCTCCGGTGCAAACTTATCCCTCCAAAAGCCCCTATAATGTTTCTCGCTACCGATCTTAGCAATCTCCTCCACCTCCTTCGGTGTCAGTTTGAATTGTTTAATCTTCTGATATCCCTTCAATCGGTCCTCATTTCCACTAGTAGTCAATGCCACGATTCCCTGATCAATGACCCATCTCAATGCAATCTCACCGGGTGTGACTCCATACTTCTTAGCTAGAAGAGAATAGGTATCGTCCAAAGGTCCAGGAGAAGCCTTGACGGCAGCGGTCAACGGAGAGTAGGCTGCTATTGCTATGTCCTTCTCGCGAAGGAAAGGAATCAGAGATCCATGTTGAAGGTAAGGGTGATATTCGATCTGGTTGATGGAAGGGATAATCTTCGCCGTCTCCAAAATAGTTTCTATGTCCTTTTGTAGGAAGTTAGACACTCCAATAGATTTCGCTTTTCCGGATGCATGAATTGCTTCCATCTCTGCCCACTTTCTTTGTAAATCTTGAGGGGTCTTGGCGAAGTATGGAGCGTGAATCAAGTAGAGATCGACATAGTCGAGTTGAAGCTTCTTCAGAGATTCTTCAAAGGTAGCTTGTGTGTCAACTACTTTGGTACCAGTAATCTTGGTAGTTATGAAGAATTTCTCTCGAGGAACACCGGATTCTTTGATTGCCATACCCATCTCGGTTTCATTTCCATACACTAGAAACAGGTGTTACAAATGGTAATCATTCGAAAGCATTGAATGATGAGAAACACCTTGAGCTCCATCTAAATGATAGTAGCCAGCATTGATGGCCATGACGGCCGTTTTCACAATCTCATTATCGATCTGACCATCTAAATTGGGCTTGTAATGAGCAGTTCCAAGGCCATACCCAAGCATTGGAATCTCAGTCCCATCATTTAACTTGAGATTTTGCAATTGACTCATCTGCTTTGGAGAATCGCCCGAATTGCCTCCAGCTCCAAAAGAACTTTGATATGCCGAGGTTTCAGAATTCATCATGTAACGAGCAGGAATTGCAGAGAAATGGAGATTAAAAGAACGTTTTATAAGAGGACGAGTGGAAAATCTGAAAGCAGAATTGATCAATGTATTCATAGGAAACAACAGTGAAGGAGGAGGTAGAATGTAGGTACTACCTAGATATATATCTATACTCCCGTTGCATGACGATTTTAAAGTTCATCAACTCCACCAAGCCCACTATGTCACCCGAGAAAGCTCCCGAGCTCCTGTAAAACTATAACTAGGGGTAGCTTGTGGTCCGCATGGATTATTAACGATTATCAACACCCAATCAAGCCGGAGCACGACATTTGCCTCCCTTGCCCCTCATTCTTAGACACAAACCAAAAGTACTTAGGTAGGTATTCAAAGCAGTCCCAAACCATACCCAATCACAGAATACTTTGATAGTTTTCTCAAGTTTGATAGAATATTTATCAGCTTCTGTTTATCAAGAGTATCTATAGTATCATCAAAATAGTTCATGCTCTTGCGTTTCTTCTCAAGACCTCTGGTACCCCGCTTGCGCATAGCTCAGATGGCATCTCATATCTCTCAAAGCAGTCCCTCGAAGGCCTCTTCCTTTGCCGGAAAATCCCTCGCAGACCTTCCTAAATCATGGACATTTACCTCATCACTACCTCCCGATCCTCAGTTTCCCACGCCTGCCGCATCGCACAAAACTGCTCGCGATGAAATTGGACCTCGGCAGGTAAAGGGCGCATTATTTACTTGGGTTCGACCGGAACATTCGGTAAATCCAGAACTTCTCGCGGTAAGTCCCACTGCGATGAGAGATTTGGGAATTAAGGAGGGAGAAGAATCCACGGAAGAATTCAAACAAACAGTTGCCGGCAATAAAATTCCAGGATGGGATGAAGAGAAATTGGAGGGAGGATATCCATGGGCGCAATGTTATGGCGGGTGGCAATTTGGTTCTTGGGCAGGTCAATTGGGCGATGGACGAGCAATCTCTTTATTCGAGACGACAAATCCGAGTAGTAACGTTCGATACGAATTACAATTGAAGGGTGCAGGAATAACGCCATACTCGAGATTTGCAGATGGGAAAGCTGTGTTAAGATCAAGTATAAGGGAGTTTATTGTCTCTGAGGCTCTGAATGGATTGAAGATCCCTACTACCCGAGCTCTTTCCCTGACTCTCTTGCCGCTTTCGAAAGTCAGGAGGGAAATAACAGAACCCGGGGCCATTGTGGCAAGATTCGCCGAATCTTGGTTACGTATTGGAACATTCGATATACTACGAGCGCGTGGGGATAGAGCTTTGATAAGAGAGCTTTGCACATATATCGCAGAAAATGTATTTCAAGGATGGGAATCATTACCAGGAAGAAATTCTGCAGATGATGGCAAAACAGAAACTATTGAAAGAGGAGTATCGAAGGACACAATTGAAGGTCCGGCTGGTTTCGAAGAAAATCGCTTCACTCGTCTATATCGCGAAATTGTATTGCGCAATGCAAAGACAGTTGCAGCGTGGCAAGCATATGCCTTCACAAATGGTGTACTTAATACGGACAATACATCCATCTTTGGTTTATCCATTGACTTTGGACCATTCGCTTTCCTCGATAATTTCGACCCTAGCTATACTCCTAACCACGATGACCATATGCTTCGCTACTCCTACCGCAATCAACCAACCATAATCTGGTGGAATCTAGTCCGTCTAGGTGAATCTTTGGGTGAATTAATAGGTGCAGGTGCCGGTGTCGACTCTGAAGAATTCATTGAGAAAGGAGTCCGCCAAGAAGCCGCCGACGAAATAGTTTCCCGCGCAGAAGCTCTCATAACCCGCATTGGCGAAGAATACAAAGCCACCTTCCTAGCAGAATACAAGCGTCTCATGACCGCCCGTCTCGGACTCAAGGTATTCAAAGAAACGGATTTCGAAACTTTATACAGCGAACTACTTGATACAATGGAAAGCCTAGAATTAGACTTCAACCAATTCTTCCGTAAACTTTCCTCCATCCCCATTGCCTCTCTCGAAACCAGCGCCTCGCGAAAAGAAATCTCCACCACCTTTTTCCATCACGAAGGCGTCACCGGTCTTAACAACACCATGGAATCAGCAACCACTCGTCTCAGCGACTGGCTTCAGAAATGGCAAGGAAGAATATATGAAGATTGGGGACCGGATGGCGATGACGAGAATCGCATGATAGCAATGAAGAAAGTGAATCCGAAATTCATACCCAAGGGTTGGGTTTTGGATGAAATTATCAAGAGGGTAGACAAGGGTGGCGAGAGAGAGGTACTGAATAGAGTCATGAAGATGGTGAGTGATCCATTCAAGGAAAGTTGGGATGGGGATAAAGAGGAAGAAGAGAGATGGTGTGGGGATGTGCCGAGGGGTGATAGAGCTATGCAGTGTAGTTGTTCTTCATGAGTGGTTAGTTGTTCGAGATCAGGCAAGATGATAGGGGTGATAAATATATATCATACATATATCATGGGTAATTTCAGAATAGGATGTCAGAATATATTACATCACATAATACACATAGATGTCTAAACTGCATAGAACTTGAAGGAACACACTTCTCAAATGTATCACAAATGTATCAATGAAAATTCAAGTGCAAGATAATCTTTCTCAAAGCACAAGATGTGCATCACAGTATTATTGGTTTGATAGTCATTTTTCGTATTTCCAAAAGATGTAGACTGCAGTATCTAGTTTTCACCTTTCTGTTGACCATCAAACTCATATCCCCATTTTCTCACTCGTTCAATCATGTTCATCTGATTCTCATGACTTATCCTCCCCTACTGAAGAAGTTTCAAAAATCTTCATCGAAGATGAATGACAATCTTCATTCGAGCAAAATCAGCCCTTTCAGCCAGCCTTTATTTCGTCTCATCATTGACACCCAACTCCCAAAGTATAGTTTGTGATATCAAATGAGACCTTTTTGTCTTTGTGAATAAGAAAATCCCCCACTCCCTTCAATCACCAGTGATCTGCTTCACGCGCCACCGAAGCCGATGAAGATCCAGTAATATCTCAGTCTCGCTCACGAGACCCTTCGTGGTAATACACGCAAGAAACAAAATGCAAAAGAAAACGATTGTAAACACGTTTAAAGGAAATAGCTCCTCCCCCTTGCTGTTTTGATCCGAAATTAAAAAATTCGTCGCGAAGTTTTTGATACACAGCAAAGAAAGTTATCCTGATCCAGCAAATTTCGATTCATGATTGGGTGTGTTTTATTGTGACACAGTCTGGGAATCACCATGACTTCGATATCCCGTACCACGGCCACGTGTAGGCTGTCCATTACCGGCATAACCACCTCTTCCTCTGTATCCACCACGGCCGCGACCACGACCGCGGTATCCTCCACGATAGCCGCCATTATCGACACTTCCCTGGCCGAAGGTTTCAACATTCTTCTTTTGTTCTTCGCCTCGCCATTGATGTCCACCAGCTCTGTTTCCGGCAGCTTCTGTACGGTCCTTTGCCTCACTCGAAATGTTGTCGAAAAATGATGTGGCTTTGTTATATGCCTTGGGTGCGGTTTCCTCAACCTCAGCCTCAGGCGCAGGAGGCTGTTCCCCAAGGGGAGATCCAGCAATAGCCTCCTTGACCAGGTCTTGTTTATTGAATTTTGCATTAGCAGATTCGAAATCAAAGTCGGCCGCGGGGACATCGACTTTAGCTGGACCAGGAGCCCGACCACCACGTCCTCGTCCTCTTGCGGTAAATCCATTAGTGCCTGGTTGTCTGGGAGCACGAACAGGTTCGGTTGTTCGCATTTCGTTGACCTTTCTGGTTAGGTTATCAACTGCACTTCCATTGCTTTGTTGACCTCCAACTGGAGGGAGTTTAGCCATTGCAGCAGCAACAGCGGCAGTCGCAGCTTGTGTGGCATCTCTCAAACTTGCGGAAGTGTCATTCTGTTTTGGAACTGCAGAGGTAGTGGTGTTTTGTAATGGAGCTTTGGTCACTGCAGGACTAGCTAATGGAATTGCTGGTTGAACGCGACCGGCGCTTCTAGGACCACTTGGGGTAGCTCGAGCTGCGGGAGGAGCTGTAGGCTGAGATTGTTTCGTAGCGCTTGCATCTACTTCAGTTGGTGAATTCTTGGAAGGAGGTGGTGTCGCTTGCTTGGGAGCTGGTCCAGCATTATTTCCAGTACCAGGAGCTTGAACATCTGCTAGTTTGTCTGTTGGGTTTGCGGAAGTAGGAGTTTGTTGTTTGTTCGCACCAGGTCCAATTGGCGATGGCTTTTGTTGCTGATTTTGCTGTTGGAAGTGTTGACCTGGTGGTGGGAAACCATAGCCTGGTGGAGGGGGAAATTGGCCAGGGTGTTGAGGAAATCCATGTCCAGGTGGGGGATACCAGCCTGGCGGGCCACCAAATGGCGACATTCCTGGAAACCCTGGACCAGGAGGAGCTCCTCTACCCCACCCTGCAGGCGGAGGAGGGTAAAATCCAGGAGGTGGATATTGTCCAAAAGCCATGCCTGGAGGTGGTCCTTGTTGCTGGGGAGCATTTTGTCCTTGCGGTGGAGGTCCCCGCGGATTTTGATTTTGAGGAGTAGGGGGTCCTGGCACAGATGTAGGAGCTGGACGAGTTCCGCTCTATGATAAGTAATCTTGTTAGCCAAAACTCTATGAGGATCAAACAATGAATATATGATTTGAGGGTCTGAATCAGAAGGAAGGCAACGGAAAATCTCCACACGGTTTTGCGCTCTCGGAGACAATATGATTTAACATCCGAAATATCTCATCATTAAAAGGAAGTCGATAGGTACAACCAAGAATAATTTGGTACGCTGGCTCAAAAGGATAGCTCACTTACTCCAAGAATCGCAGGATCATTGGGCACCTGTGGGGGGATGCTTTCTCTGGGCGCAGGCGCTTCCTCAATACGCAGATCCTTTACATCACCCCCACGGAAGACAATGTACTCGTAAATGTTATCCGAAGCTGCAATCTCCTCTTCGGGGTTGTCCTTTCGTCCTTCTGTTCCATGGGACTTGACGTTTTCCAAGGCCACCGTTGCGTTTTCCGAGTTAATCTCATGAAGCGTACCGACGTATCTTAACTCGCGTTAATACTTGGCCAAATGTGACTTAACCATCGTAAATACCTAATATCGCTCTTTGATACCAAGGATATCCTTGATCTATGAACGCGCCTTTGTCAGTATGTGATGTAGAGTGTTGAAGAAGGTCCTCCAGTTTCAGCCTTGGAACTCACCCTATGAATTCAGACATGATGCCTTGTTAAACTGCGATCAGCTCACAGCCCACAGCTAGCTGCAGAGTAAAGAAAAAACGAGTAAAATCAAAAGAAAGAATGAGTATGTTGGATATCGGGCAATTGAAATGTAAGATGTTGAAGTGTGTTGGAGAGAGAGTTGTTTAATGTTGGGTGTTACTTTTGTGGAGGGCATGAGTGTTACTCTGGCGAAAAGCTTAAAGCTAAGGTGCGGTGCGGCAAGGAAGCGCTCGCTTGAACTCTGTTCCTGTTTCGGTATAGGACCCGTCCCAAAGCTCCAGCTGTCGACGGGATTATGTAATATGATTGGTTGGATCTATCGATTACGGCATGGCATATGACAGCTTGATAATTCACTACGGTTAGTCAAATGAACCTATAAAGCACCTCAACCCACCATGTGGGATTATCTCAGCCTTATTACAACCACCTACGTGACCTCACCTCATCATCCCCATCATCGACTACTTGTATTATTACGATTCTTCTCTACACAGTGAATCGGAGAGCAGTGAATTGGAGAGCGAACTCTTGCCGAGAGCTATTCTTTATCAAAACCTCTTATTATATTAATCTTTCCAATACAATCCAACCTCATCAAACACATCAACGATTTACCTCAATAATATCACAACACCACAACACCCCACCATCTGATAAGCCGGCCTCGCCAACGTCGCCATTTACCACCATAATTTCTGTGTTACACCGATATTTACTTATGACCAGCAGCTTTGTGTCTTTTCTTTCTTAATCACCATCTCATCTCGTTCTCCAGAATGGCGACAGATACTTCAGATCAATCAGGAAGTAGTGATATCAGCATTTACAAGGATCTCGTTTCATATCCATGGGATACCGATAAAGAGTTCCAGGTAAGCTTCTTGCTATCTTCTTTCAAACCCTCCTTCATTGGCCCTCGATACGTTATTCAGAGTTGCAGATTTTGGTAAACCATCGATTAACATAAAATAGGGCGGTCTATCAGCTATATTAGGCAATGCATCTTCACCTGATCAAATTCGAGAATTGACGCTTCGGGCTCAGTGTTTCTATCTCTCTCGTAAGAAGAAGATTGACATCAATTTTGATGGATATAAGGCATATCTGGCAACTCACCCATCCACATCTTCTTCTACTGATGCCCCTGCGCCTGATAGCGCCAGTTCAGCAAATGATACTTCATCTTCCAACACTCCAAATCTCGATCATGAAAATGACCTTCTACCTGCTATCACTACAGCTGATGAAAAGGCCCCGCCACCATATCCTCCATCTTTTGCTGAAATCGTCGCTTTAATCACAGCTGGTGCCACCATTCCGGGAATCCGTGATATTCCCGATACAGTTCTGACGGATCAGGGTACTAAGCCGGTTGCACGAAAGCGTCGTAAGCCATGGGAGAAAGACGTTGACGAGGAAGCAATTCAGGGTGGAGGAACTTTTGGCGACCACCGAGATACCATCATACAGCAAGAATACCCAACTGATGTATAAAGGTATCCATTTGCATTGTGGTCACGTTTTCTCACAAATACTTTACATTTTCCGAAATTATGGGAACGGCTATATCCAAGGACCAATTACTTTGTGGAAGCAGCCAGGCATTGAGCTTCTTTTTACGCTACCCTTCTTCTGGTTCATATGACAAAAGACCGTGGACATCAGATGGTTTTATCAAGCTAGAAGCTCGCAAGCTGATACATTTTCATGTTGTTCAAATGAAAGCTGTTGTACTTGTGATTTGTTCTATGGATTTCTACAATGCACGCGGGTTTTTTCTAAAATCGCTGCTTATGTCACTTTCCGAGCTTGAAAGAGTTGTCAGATCTCCCCAAGTCAACCTCTTTCTGCGTTCTAGTGAACCTTGTGTTGCCAGTCGGATCTATCGAGTGCGGTATTTTTAGTAGCGCCAAAACTTCGCGCGACCATGGTATTGGGCGGGACTTTATAAGAATCTGAATATTCATAAGAAGCCCAGGATTAGAACACAGCATTGAGTCGAGATTCATTTCATAACTTTCTGGGGCTGGACATACGATTGTAGACCAATCTTTGTCCTTCAATTTATAATCGAATCACTTTAAGGAACCACCTAAAAGTAATCTTTCAATTACAATAAACTGTCTTATCTCCCCTGATTTTATCCTTTGAATCAATATTTGAGAGCTATTTAGTGAAACGCATGGTTAGAAGGCTCCTGAACTTGGCAGATTAATAAACATTTGAACCAGCCATCTTTTCGGGGCGCCAGCCATTAGATGATGACATCTAATACCTTCGAAGACGAGTTTTTTATTTCTAATCGAAATATCTTACAAGCTCAAAATTTCGCATACATCAGTGGGTTTGGGGAGACTTCACCTCCCAGTGTAGATCCTTCGCAATGTACATCCCCATATCATTAATTATCTTCATACAATCATCATTCTGCAATTGTAATTGCAATTTGAGGGGATGATAAAAAGTTCCACATGCTAGATCTACAGACAGTTGCCAAGCACTATCGTTTACCCCCCGCCAAGGGCCTCGGACATCAATTAGCGAGCACAAGTATGCATCTGACGTTCTGAATCGTTCTATTGTTATGCTATAGTCATCTGCTATTAGGCAAACCTTATTTTCGAACCATTTTGTCTTATAGTAAGGTGGTCTCACCTCGGTCATTATCTTCCAAGATTGTGTTTCAGGTGACTAATAATTAGATTCCTGATTTTTGCTTGTCTAATATTCACTCTCACAGTCTACAAAAAATTGCTCTTATTACCCATCACCCTCAATAGAATTAAGATAGCTTTCTGAGTTCTGTGTGTCCACTTGAATAATATGCTCTCAATAAAATCTTGACTTTCCAGCCTACACAATCGAATTTGACGACAATTAAGAGCACCCACAACGACTCCAAATTCATTTAGCATTCTTACATCTACTAGTCTTGCCATTCCTTTCATCTCTGCATTATGAAGGTTCTTTTGTTTGTCTCTGCACTTGTTGCACTCATCATACCTGCGCTAGCTGGAACTGTTCCTCTCGAATCCAAACAGTCCATCGTAGGATTGTGGGGAAAATCAACCGATATTTCCGTTCTATATTGCTACAGTGAGTAATGAATACCTAAGCTCTGGAAAGTTCTTGTCATTTCAAGAAATACCCGTGTCTGAACTCCAGTTAAGCAATATTGTAGTGGATGCTACTTGCATGCAAATGCGAGAGCATTGGCAATCCTGTCAAGTAGATCTTTTCAAAGACGTCAATGCACCCATCGGCAATCCCATCGCTCGCAACGAACTGGTAGCAAGCTGTCTTTGCAACGCCGGTATGCCTGACTTGACATCCGAGTGTCTGGCCTGTATCAGTCTTGCTAGCCAAAATTTCGTGGTCCAAGAAACTTTGCACACGCTTGCTCAAGATGTGTGTGATAAGAAGATTACTCTTGGTCAATATGAAAATCATGCCTCGCAATTTGGTAGCGCGGTGAAGTTTCCTCTTATCTTGCCATCGCTTTGGCTTAATGGTACGAAGGTTACATCTCCGGATCAAATTGTTGTGGAGAAGTGAAATCTTCAGTCGTGTTCGTGAGTGTTTTACAGTCCATCGGGCGTTCACGTTTTGCTATATTCTCCGCTTCTACTACTAATTAATGAGTTCAGAATTCGATAGCTTCCTGGTGGAGATCGATTTCAGCATGCGGAAAAAATGGGCGCACTCATGAAGTGCAGGTCTACTATGACGAAATCATTTTATTGGTCCTTTCTTGAATTTGCGATAGTGGTCAAGAGATTCGGCGGCGTTGCTTTCCAGGGAAAGCCCACTCTTCAGATTTAAGGATATGAATTGACTATTTTTTGAACATTCGTTTTGGTTCCATTATGATGAGGCTTCACGTTTATGCTTGTGGTTGCTGCATTTAAATCCCTTTCTTGCGACCATGACTACAATGTATGTTGCTGTAGGCGAGACCCCGCCAAAAATTTAACATACACAGCGCAGATACTTGCTACTCCAAGACTACATTCGTTCCTCATACTCATAAATCTTATTCGGATTGCATCAGAAACCCCTCACCATCATATTTTCTGCTACCATGGGATAATATGCAACACTTTAGGGTTCCTAAAGATCTCGTATCATTGATCCATGCAAATCACTATCACAGGAAAGATGCTTTTCAATGAAAACCCTTTCATTTGTTAGAATGTGTCGTAGACACAAATAACTATCGTAGCCTTTTCCAATGTGACGATAACTCAGATCAATTAAATACAGAAGCTTTTATAGCCGCAGCCATAGGCCAATTTACTCATCTGCTAGACGATCCATATTATGAAACAACCCTGTGTTTTTGTACAAATATCTCCTAGCACCAAGACCAATTTTCCTATTCCTCGTTCCAATCCTCTATTCTGATTGTAGGCACTATATCTTTTTCACCTTTAGATGTACTTAGACTTGCAGTGACCACTTGAATGAACGGTATCTCCCATCTTTCTACCTCGCTTGGATCTGCCCAGGGAGTAACAGAAACTAGTTTGACACCCATTAGTTAGCTGGATATTCATAAGTCCTAATTGACCTTCGTCATGTTTTGATTTAGTGAAAGTACTCACAACCTCGATTCCCAGCTTCAATAGCCCGTGATTTAATAAAGTCGAGTATCAGCCACGCATCTGATGCCAATCGTCTTGCTGACCAGTACTCAGTATGTGGTTCTACTTCTGACGATGCCACTGGCTTGCCTAATGCCTTCCTCCAATATTGAGAGAGAGATTTCCGGGAAATAACAGAAGCATCATGGGGACCACTTGAAACCATTCGAATTCTCTCTGGAGCATAAAATTGTATCTCGCCATTGTAAATTGGTCTCTCCGGTACTACATCTTCGACTTCTAGTAACAACATGATACCCTGGAGATTTGCAAACGTCGAGATTATGCAACGGAGGAAATTCAGCATGTCTTCCAGCTCAAAAAGAGATTTTCGTCGTGTTTTGTATGAAATCGCGAGATATTTCAGGTTATGAAAAGCTGAGCGAGCAAGTGCTGATCTTCGTAGTTCGTCGAGCCAAAAATCTCCTTGGATCCATATGATATCTTGAGGGTTGTAAATTATGTTTCTGTGCGTACGCGTTGAATAAATGGGAAACGAACTCGGCGGTCCATCGGCGAATGAATCACGTAGGGCGGTATTGTGTTTCTCATTGGCAATTATCTTTAATGCATCCTCAATGCTTAAAGTGGTATGCGATCTGGTAATTCCTGGCTTGGTGAACCTATCAAGAAACATATCCCGGTATTCATGATTGAGGCATAGGATTGGTGGCAAGGAACCGCACGTAAGACGAAAGCTCTTTCCAAACATATAGTGATGTTGTAGAAGATCAGATGAAACGAAATTCAATGTTGTAATGCGTGGTTCTTCGAGGTACAATTCCAAAATGTCAAGCTGTTGAGATGCACAAGTGTCAGTTGTCTTTCATTGAGAAGGGGGTCTTGTGAAGTACAAATAGATATTAGCAATGAGACACTTACTCTTAGTTCAATTGGCAAGTCTTGAAATCTATTGAACGTCCTTTCTTCTTCCTCTTCGTCCCACGACCCACCATTATGAAGAACTTCTCCATTACTTTGTGATTCGCCAGCGTTCGTGGTATTTGTGCCCAACTCATGATTCAATGAAGACTTAGAAACCTTGAAAAATAATCGTTTCGAAATTTTCTTTACTTTTTGAAAAAACAGATAATTTTTATGAGGTCCTTCCATTCCAGTCGAAGCTTGTTGATACCTGTGGACAACAGCATGATTTGTGACAGCTGTTGAAATTCTTTCGAGTCGCTTTCTTTCAAAATCAGTAATAAAACGAAGCATCCTGGAAATGTAAGAAAGGTTATATTATCCATGGGATTTTGAAAATGCAATTTTTCTTATGTATGTAGCAAGTTCTGTGACTTTAACTCCGTAGATGGAATAGCCAAGGAAGTATACCCAAAAGAGTTAGTGCGTGCAGACAAATTTAGCAATTATATTCACTCTATATGATACGATACTAGCTCTGCCTGGATCCGATGAGAATTAGAAAATAGATATGTTGCTATTGATTGTATTGATAACAAAGTGGAATGAGAGTCAAAGAACCCCCCGCATCTGATTCAACCCGCTTCTTTACTCCGCATTGCTTAAGATAATAGCAGCGGGCTTTCACACTCTGATGAAATGGATATGAATCTTCAAATCAACAACAAAATTACTTGAAGCGAATTATCATGGACTTTCAATCAAGACCATATCCAAGTGAAAATCTTGAATCACTTCACTGCCAAGCTACATAGAAAATGATGTAAATTTTTGGCGAGCATGATCGTGAAGCTAGCGGTCTTTGATAAGAATCCCGGTATCAACGCAAGTGAACTTATCACAAGTGTGCTGAATGCTACTCCAAAATAACACATAACACAAATTCCTCTCTCAATAGAGCTCATAGAGAACTGCTAGAGTGCGCATGGGGTTCAAAAGTCTTTCTACCTCAACAATCACGACAACTCAGCGCCCCTTCGATAGAGCAGAAAAATGAACCATTTATCCAATACTGCACTCATTTAATCCCATGCCATGTTATGATTCAAGGATCAACCAAAAGCATCCGACAAGCATTTCAAAGTCATTTTCTACAATGGAATATCTAGAACATTGAGTATTGGGAGCTCTTCCGAGGTTCAATACATTGCTAACCAAGCTAAGTAACGGGTGTCCATATCTGTCCATAAATCTAATGTCACTATCCAGTTCTTCGTTCCGACCTGCCATGGACTTTTTATCAATAAGCATCACTGACTGCCTAAAACTAAAAAATTCAAATAAAGGGTAAGTTTCCATGAATCAACTACTTATGATAAAACTCCCCCAGATTCCTAGTAGTAAATACACGCTGTAGCCACGGATCGTAGCAAGAGTAGGCAGAAACAGATTTTAGAACAGCCATGCTCGAACGCTGGATAGCCAACTCGACCTTTGTGGGCCAGGGAAATGAGTATGTCGCTTTCGATTGCTCTGTTGAAAGACATGACTACTCCGATTTCTGACCACTCTTCTTAGGCTTGCTGTACCGCTCATCGCTTTTATGGTACCTTTGATATCTGTTGGAGCATGATGTCCATCGAAAGTCAAAGGGTCCTGATTGAAGAGATGTCAGAGCTATTATTCCTAGAAATATTTAGTATTGATCATCAATCACTGGATCACAGTTCACACCTTATATGCTCTGGCACTCTTCGACTAGATAAAAATAGAAGTACTTAGACGGCAACTTACTTTCTTACATGTCTCTTCAAAGCTGATTTCAAACGTTACCAGAGTGCGACTAGGTATTATTCTCAATTATTCCGTCAGCCGACAACGAAGTCTTTTCCTCCGTTCTAGCCCGTTTTTGATTCCCTTCTTTACCTGTATCAGGAACTGCTCGTTTACGAAGAGACCATTTTTTGCCTTTCTGTTTGAATTCCGGTTGCTTTTCCAATAGAGGGAAGTGATTTGGCCTCTCTAGCATTCTTCTCATTTTTCTTTGAAAACACTTCTTCGACGGGTCGTCTTATACTTATTAAAGCTGGATCATGCTGTTCACTAGATTCGCTAGTGTCATTCCACTGTTCAATTTGGGTGGCCTTCTTTTCACGTAGCTCATAATTCTTGATCATGTCTGTTAACTCATCCCAAGTTCCATTTTCCTATTGCACATTAACTTTAATTAACGAGGGGTTAGAGCTGAAACTTACATCAATATTGTTTGCTCGCAGCACTAGAAGTACCTGTTTCTCGAAACATTTCTCGGCCCGTTTTTCTTGTTCCTACACAACATGAGCTAATTGCAACCTCATTATGATGTATATATACCTTTGTTATATAACGAGTGCGAGTAGCCGATGCTTTAGATTCAACCACATGCATTGTTCTGTAATGGCGCCAAAGATCCTAGGCGTATCTCTTTTCTGATGATCATTAATTGGAAATAATTTGGGGCATCTTTGTCGGGGCATACCGTGTTTTCACATAGACTCCCATCTTGATTAGGCGCACGACAGAAAATCTCGCCTTTGGGGATGTGAAATCCCCTTCTTGTTTCTTTCGACTTTTCGTCTATCCAATCTTCCTTCTCCCATGCCATCATTTCCTTTGGACGGGTAGTAAATTGGTAATACAGTTTGCCCAAATTGGGGTTCATTATATCTGATTGTTAATCAACGTTATGTGAGTCACTGCTGAGGGTCGGTATTATGGCTTTGCACTTTTTTTTAGACTTGGAGGTGGTTGGGAGGGCTATCAAGCACTGGGAGTTGAGGTTTGGATCTAGGCGATAAGAAGTCGAACGATAGAATTATCGATTACTGACAGATCAATATGATATTGATGAGAAAATTGTTTTATTTAATCAATAAAGTGATGCAAAGTGTTGTAGTAGTTGAAAGAATAAGAATAGGAAGTAGCATGGCCATGTGAGATCTGTAGTATTCTCTCGTAGAATCCGGAAGGAAACAACATCGCTTAGGTAGCAAAAGTCTTTCCAAGCAAGTACTCTTATGGTTCCTTCTCTTGATAGCTTGCTATGTGTAAAAATGGATATCAAACCGAAGTATGGATTACCACAAAGCCTGTTGAAAATTAAACGTGCAGCTGTGATGAATGAATTAATCAGATAAAAATACAAATCGTTCACACTTGATGCTCAGATCAGGAAATAACATGTCTTCAAGCTTCCAAGATGATTAATCCAAGAAAAATTGGTATTTTTCTCTAATAAGCGTCTAAATCCCTAACACATATAACACTTTAGCAATTAAACCATGAGTAGAAAAGATGAGATGATCTGTTCTGAAAAGGCTTGAGATTTATAGAATACATGAAGTTTCACTGAATCTACAAGAGGAACACAAATGACAGAATACATTTCGTGCTAATCGTTTGGAATAATGCTTTTCGTAGTCTATACTTCATTCCTATTATACTACCAAGGTTCCTTAGATTCTGATATCAAGTCCCATGTTACCATGTCGCAATATCCACTTAGTTGCGATCTATTTCCTCAAGTTGCTTGTATGTAGTAGCGGCTAGAAATCTTACAGACGGTACAGTCCATTTTCGAAATACCTGGACTAGCTGGTGACCTTTGTCGTCTCCTTGATCCACTTGTTTCATCGTTAGCAAAGCATTTCAGATGCTTGGTATAAAATATGGAAAGTAGCTTACCAGTCGACATCCCAATACTCGTCTTGAAACCCTGAAGACCGCAGTACAAATCTTCTGCTGGATTAGTCTTAGTTAGACTCGGCATTTTCTGCACTGTCTCCTGTTTCCGCATGAAATAGAACTTTATTGACCGTGTCATAGAACAAACCAAATTGTACCAATGATTTGGCTTCCACTCCCCGTGAATTACGCTTAATACAAGTTCTTTACCTAAGGAAAGAATTGTTTGTGTATGGTGGGTAACAACGTTGTCTTCTGGGAAACTTTTCGGCGTGAGATCCATAAAGGTAATTTCATCGCGTACACCAGGAATTGTGAAATCAAGACGCTCCATAATGACGATTAGTTCCCGCAATTCACAGAAGCAATGGACAAGAAGAATAGATAAGCGATGAAGATTATCCCAATTCACAAGAACATCTCGAGATGATAGAGTAATGACCAAACTTTGGGACAATCCAATCATAGGAAAAAACATAAGACAAAAGGCTGGCGTGGCGGCTCCCTTCGGTTGGCCATGACCAGAAGTCGATTTCGCGGAGCCAAATTGCATCACTGGCGGCTTTATATGCGATTGCTGGTAATGATTCGGAACCAGTAGATAAATTGCTGCATTGAGATAAACAATTTAATCTTTGAATTGCTTGTTGACGAGTCAGACGATTGACGTATAGCTGAGGATTTTTTTGACCACTATCAACAAGTCGAACTTGATAATGGCCATAGGAATCGCCGTTAATATATTTGCATGAAGTTGAAACAATTCTTGGAGCTTCGAATGCGTATTTCCATATTTTCAGCTGGACTTTTTGTTAGAGTCCTTCTTCTCCATTATTCATGACATTTATAGTTCCTACTGCATACATGTTCACTTACTTTTATTTCGGTTGGAAGCCACTCAAATAAACCAAAATCACCATCGTTAGTGATCACCGTAACTCTTTCTCCTGCGACAGTGATGATGAATTTATTTTATCAACAATGGTCTCAGTGGTTTTAGGAATTGAACTTTCCCACACCAATCACGCCCGATCGAAGTGTTTGTACAGAATTGAGGCCAAGATTACGGAATGCAGAGTGCGAGAGATCTCTTCTTTTCGAAATTGAATCTGTTCTGGTGCCCGAAATCACTAAATCTTCGTTGGCAGACATAGAGACGGTAGAAAGGAGCGAAATTTAAGTAAAACTTCGAAAGGCGAGAACTTTGCTGGTAGGGTTTGGCTATGAGGTCAAATAAGATTCCTCAAAAAAGATACCAAGATTGGAAAGGGTCATTGAGGGTCCTCCGAAGATCAGTGAGAAAGCCGTAGTAGAGACCCCTCTTATATAGCAATCATTGATAATTATTCTTCAAGAGTTGCTCGAGTTTCATGTAAAGCTGATTGGTTTCCGAAGATGAAGATGAAGATAAAGGCTCGAAGTACGGAGTTACCCTTGCCCGAGGGTGTATAGGTGGTCTTGGATATCAGACTATCTTATATTTCAACGAACGCACGAGTACAGCAAGACAGGAAACAATTTAGTGAATATTATGTATTGAACGGAATGAAACGCATGCTACTTACCTATCTATATCTATAGATTGTATTCCAGAATCAATGACATATAGAAGATTCAACATTCAGTGGAATTTTAAGTACCTTTGCTGGTCATTGAATTGCTTATTATCCAATTTGAAATAGATATTAAAATAGTTGGAATTTTAAAATTAGTCGCCTTGTTCAATATGAGATCTTACATTATCGTAACATACGTATTTTAATGAATGCCCTAGAAAAACATTAAAGAGTTCAATTCATCTCTTCACCATCTAATAAAGATTCGGCAATCAGAAACAACTAATCAACATCTCTTTCTGGTAAAGTGCTGTCATACATCATGATAACATCATGATACATGTGTTTATACATTAACTCTACGAAGCATGAAATGCTTATACAGCGGCTTATACATATAATTCTGATGTTAATTGGTTCAAATTTCAAATTAGCCGAACGAACGCATTCAATAACTTCACTCTTCCATATTTCACTCATTCTACGCCAATTCAAGAAGTGATTGCTTATCAGTCGGAGTAGGCACTCCTACCATCATATGTACATCTTTATAATTTTGTCTTCCATTCAATCCACAAGCCTGCTAACTTTCAAACGACACATCTTACAACAACAGCAACAACAACATGACAGATCACACGATAAGTACTAATTCCTCTTATCACAATGAACCTAGAGAAATGAAGCTTGAAGACAAGACTGAGAAAGACTTAGATTCTTCGAGTCACCTAAAAGACGAAGGAAAAGAAGAATGTAGTATCTCCAATGAACCTCGCAAGAATAACATTTTGGACCTGATCAGAAGTTCAACAAGTGGCACCTCTCATCAAGATTCCCAAGAACTCAGAGATCAAGGCACAGAGAACGAAGCAAGAAGTGCCCCTTTTGGTAGAAAAACCGAGACTTCCAGCAGAAAGGAACGTCTTTATGAGCTGGTAGCAGCAGAGCCTCTTCATGGAATCACATCTTCTACTTTAGATTTTATCTACGCAACATTGGAGGATGAAAACTTGTCTAAAAACTCTGAGCTTAGTGACAAGATTAGACAGGCTTTTTCCGCTTTGGAAGATGAACTCTTCAGTGAAGATAAGGAAGCGATCTTTGAGAAGTTCCCTAAACTTCCTCCTGAAGTTCGAGTATGTTAAAAATTTCTAAGTATCCTTCTGCTAGTCTAAAGGCTAATTTGAAGCTATCTTCCGATTCCCGCTAACATTTTCACAGACAATGATCTGGAAGCAGAATCTTCTAGAACCAAAAGTTGTGCGCGTCGGTATTGTGCCAACAGAACGCACAATAGAGCAATGGCAATACAGCGGTGGTGAACTTATGAAAATCGATGATCATATGCCGATGCTACTCGAACGAAACTCCATTCTCAAGACCCCTCCCTGCTCTCTTCTCTATGTCAATAGAGAATCTCGAGATCAAGCATTACAAGTACACGGTGTGTTTTGGGAACAGAAGCGCCCGTGTAAAGAAGCCGAGGGCGGTTATGTTTCAATCAACCGCATATATGTCAATTGGGAGATCGATACATTATGGTTGGATTATAACCTCTCCGTCGCGTGGCGTGATAATAAAATGGATCCAAGCGACATACTGATCACACCAATGCCGGCATACGACAAAGTTCGTCGTCTTGCAACACCAGGAGAATCTATCGAATGGCCTTGTGACTTTCAAGTATCGGATACAGGTTTAGCAATTGCAGATTTCCCAAATCTAGAGGACTTGTTTTTGCTAGTTCCTACGAAAGAGACAGAATGGAGCGACCCGATTCTCGTCCCAACGCCAATAAACACGAAATTCTGTAGCATTCTCGACAAATTCGATGCGGACTCACTTGGTTCGGGTCTCGAATTCTTTATTGACGAAGATGAATACGACATTATTGCTGAGAATTTAGATATAGGTGAATTGAGGGACATTGTATATTGTGTCTTTCAGCACACCCTTGAGAATTTTACTTCTGCAGATAACGAGGAAGAAATCGAAGGTAAGAATAAGGTATCAAAGACATTAAATCAGGTAACTAACTACTCTTACCAGCGGGATATATACGTGATCTTTCCACCTGGGAATGGCCAGATGTTCGATTCATGGAAGTAAGCACAATTGAGAAGGAGAAAGTCAAATTTATAGCTAAAGCTCTACTTGAGGTTCTGCCAGCAGGGGTCTATGAAGTAGACGATGAAGACACAGATGAAGAAAGCCGTGGTCCCAGCAGTACATCATTTTATTACATGCTGCTTTTGCGAGATTAGCGTTAGAGGGACTTCAGGAACAGGCAAATCTCCAGTCGAGCAAAGGCAAGCGCCTTGGTTGGGTTTTCCAAGCTAGATTTGCAATAAATGGATGATACATATGATGGTAAAATTTGACACTATGTGCTTCCATAAACCGCACTAGTGCAGAGCACGCAGCTTATTCTTCACATAATACACGTGAAATTCTTGAACGGGAAAAGGAAACGGCAGAGCAGATTTCCTGACTTCCAGTCCAAAAGCATACCTAGTTTACTACTAACGTGAGAAATTCGAATAACATAAGCAAAGCTTGAAAGATTGATATCAGGTGGAAAAGCTCTCGCATTCTTCCTTGGCTTCCAAGTCATGCCTCTCTGTTCATTCTTCCACTCAACCTTTCTCTCTCACAGCACATATTACCCCAGAAACCAAAACGAGAGACAATTACAGTGTCACTAATATCACATATAGATTATTGAAGTAACAATTGATTCTTAAATTCATTAACAATTTACATATTGTACAAACTTTGGTAGCTTCAGGCAGCTGACTCATAAAACTTTCCGAATTCCGTCAGAATCCTTGACCAAAGATTACGCCTGTGGATCATCACAACAACTGACAGGTGAATATAGTATACCAACAATTTTAAGATGTACCCCCAAAAAGCCTAATCGTAAAAACATCTATCTTCGCGGATCTCGTTGATCATCCCGGCTTCGGTAATATTGTTGTTCTCTTTCCCTTTCCTGTCTCTCTCTCTCTCGTTCTCTCTCATAGTGATGCTCATAGCGCTCTTGAGTTTGTTGTTGTTGATATTGCATGTGGTGGGAAGGTGCTTGGGCATAACCTTGCTGACCTGAAACTGATGTAGATGGAGCAGCATTATAGTTCCGGGCATCGAAGCTATTTTGTCGTGAGTTGTGCACATGATGACCTACTTGATGACCTTGAATCCATTGACCACGTGGTGCTGGTGGAGTTCGATGTCCACTTTGTCCACTTTGTCCGAATGCTATAGATCGATGACTGGCTGCCACTTGAGGTGCTGAATGGAAGTCTACCGGTGTATTCGGTTGTTGTGGCACAGCGAATTGTGATTGACGATTATATATATCACGATCGGAAGCTTGAGGTATGTCATGAGGAGACGACATTGTCTGACGTGCCATCTGTTGACTAGCAGGAGGAGGAGTAGCAGAATAAGGTGATTCATTAAGCTTCGTAATTGGACTTCGTGTATATCCGCTCGGAGCATTTATTTCATTTAAAGGCTCTCGACGAATAGATGAAGACTGCGAACCAATTGTTTGGCGAGATGGTTGAGAATACATCTGGTGATGTTGTACAGTTGGTGGGGGTGCATGACTTCGGCCTTCATAAGGTGTTGGTGTGTAACTGCGACCCACGGAGGATGAATGTTGATGCATAGATTGAGAAGATGATTGTGGATACCCATGCTGTGGATTCGTTTGAGAAGATATTTGATGTTGAGCCTGCTGCATCTGCTGATTTTGTTGAATTTGCTGGGACATTTGTTGCGACTGTTGAGATGAATGCGATGAAAATCGTGAAGTCTGCAATGAACGTTGAGGTGGTGGAGTTTGTGAATTTTGAATGGGAATTGCCGCGGCACCACCAACTCTCTTCGGTTGGACTTGTGCTATGGGAGGAGCTCTGCTAGGTTCACTGGATTCATCGTTCAACAAGGACATGATATTGGAAGTCTTTCTTGGTGTGTCTTGCTGACGTATAGCAGCAACAGCCGCTGGTGGAGGCGGTGGTGTTGAATACTGCTCTTGGATTGGCGGGGTAACAATGCCCGATCGACCGAAAGCTGGAGAGGGAGATGGAATCAAGTTTGGAGCAACACTCATACCATCACTAAGCAAATTCCTGACACCTTGACTTCTCGGATATTGTTGATTTGGTGCTAAAGATGGTGCTTGTCTTCGAACGTCCGTTGCGGTGACTGTCGAATATGGAACCTCGGGTCTTGTAGGTGCCATTGATCCTGTACGGCTAGAGTGTGCAGAGTATAGTTCATATTGTTGTGGATTTCGTACATCAATTTCCTCTTGCTTCATCTGAAAATTTCGTTGTTCTCGCTTTTCTTTTCGATCTTGTTGTTCTCGTTGTTCACGCTGCTCATGGTCACGCTCTTGTTTTCTCTTCAAAGTTCGTTCTAGCTGTTCTTGTTTTGACTCCCTTTCCCTTTGTAGCTGTTGTTGCCGCTCGATAGCCTCCATTTCCCTTAGCTGCTCTCGTCTTTGGAATACCTGCTGTTGCTCACGATGTGTCTGTTCTCGCAAAGCCTGCTGCTCTCGAAGGGCTTGTTCTCGCTCTCGAATCGCTTGCTCTCGAAGGGCTTGTTCTCGAATAGCTTGCTGCTCTCGTCTGGCCTGGTCTTGTAAAGCTAGTCGCTTTATGGCTTGTTGTTGTTCCTGTGACATTCGTTCTACCTCATGCTCAAGAGCCTTCTGCCTCTCGCGATGGGCTTCCTCGGCGACCCGGGCTGATCTTTGAGAAGCAAGTGTGGTTGGATCGGAAATTGGTGAAGCATTTTGAGATTGCTGCGAAAGATTACTCTGTAACGTAGGACGTTGATTATCAGTCGTGAAGAAGCCCATAGCAGGACCTCTTGGTTGTCTAACTTGCTGACTCTGAATTTGTTGTGGTTGTGGTTGTATCTGAGAGGCTGTTGCTGTTGCTGATGGTGATGCTGATATTGGTTGTTGCTGTTGCGGGATTTGAGATAAGCTGTGTTGATTAGCCTGATGATGGGAGCGTTTGGATGGCAATGAACTAGGAGTTATCGTTTGATTCATTGATTGGGGAACTGGTCCAGCTTGAGCTAAAGCTGGGAACCTAGTACTCAATGTGGGCTGAGGAGGGGAGGCTTGAGAAAGAGTTATAGGTTGGTTAGCAGATAGTTCATCGAGATCCATAGCAGAAGCTGATCTCGATAGAGGAGCGGGTGAGGGGTCATATCGTCGCTTCGTTGGAGCAGTTGGTGTTGGTGCCGGTCCAGTAGATTCGCCTCTCTCACGTTTCGAGTCAGCATCTCGAGTGATCGCTTCCCATTCTTTCTTACTTCCAGAATCAACCGAGCGTTGGTAGTAGTTCTTGACCTGTTCAGCAATGTTAGCTAGCCGCTTAAGGCCTAGTTTTCCTTTCTTGATATCAAGCCAATCAGAAAATATATCGTTATATACCATGGTATGTGTTTTTGTTCCCATATGTTTTGCAATCCCTTGCCAATCTGTACCAAAATGTCGTAGTAATTCAGGAAAGTCATGCACCTCCGGGACACTCCAATAGCTAGAAGTTTGTTGTTGGGCAGTAGAACGACGATCCGGTTGAGATTCAACAGTTGTTGGAGGGGCAGATCCAACACGTTCAGGTGCAATTGGAACCTCTAGATTAGCTGGTGTAAGTCTTTCGGGTGTCATGAATGGTGGTGAAAATGCTGGAAGTTGTTGAGGAACAATACTTTCATATGGAGGGAAACGAGCAGGAGCTACAGGAGGTCTAATTGGAGTAGGCTCGGGTGCAGCGGTTGATGGGGGAGGATTCGGCGATTCATCGTTACGGGTAGCAGGAGATGGGGCAGCTGCTAGAAGTTGACTAGCCTTGGGTTGTTTCGGAACCTTCTCTCGTGGAACCTTTACTTTCCTTTTGGGTGGAGCTGAGTCACCATTTGCATCTCCTTTTGGGGTAGCAACTCTTTTCGCTGGAGTTGGTGCAGGACTGGCGCCTTCATTGTCAGTTGGTGGAGGTGCTTCAAAATTCCAGGTTGGAGCAGCAGCTCTCCTAGGTCGACGTCTTTCGTTGCCATTCTCGACATCTGGTGTAGCGTCGGTGTCGTTGCCGCCTCCATTTTCTATGTTGGTAATGAGAACGCTAGATTTTTTCGCTCCTTTCCTCCTACCTGTTTTAACTTGATTATTTTTCTTCTTGAAGATCGCTTTCCATTCATCAGTTGTTTTGATAATGTAATAGTGTTGAATGCAGGCCTTGTAATCACGATGTGGAAGGCTTTCTGCGATGACAGAAAATTGCTTGCCAGAATGGGAGTACTTCTCTCGAAAAATGCGAGCCTCTTCTTCCGTGAAATTGTCGATAGATTCTCCGAATTCAAGCATACGAAATGATCGCTCAAATGGAACCTTATGCGTAGTATCTACAAACATAGTTTCTTTGTATTCATCATCCCAACACATATCTGGAATGCTCGCTTCCTTGGAATTAGCGGTCTCTTCCCTGGCATCCTGTTCTTGCTGTTCCTTCGATTCTTTAGCTTCACGCTCGGATTCACGAAGGACGCGTTCTATATCGTGCTCTGTCGCAAATCTACTCCCAGTACGCCGCTGACCCTCTGTCTTCGGATCTGAACCATTTACCGATTTGCCTCGTTCGACCGATTCCTCGGCTTCCCTGTCTTGGGCTTTAGCAAATGCTTCTCTACTTCGCACAGCAATCGGATCCAAATCCATATCAGTAAATGTGCGGTATTTGGCATAATTGTCTGCCCACAGTTTCCCTTCTTCTTGTTGTCTTCTCCATTTCTGCGCCATTTTTTCTTCCATGAACCTCGTAAGAGAGGGTTCGGCATCAGGAGCAATTTCAAGAGAGCTCAAGAACTCTGGATCCTCGTCCCATTTATTATAATCGTACATTGGCAAAGATTCCGGAGGGGGTGTCTTTGTATCCCTGGGGTGCTTGACGGCGTCGAGAATTTTAGACTGGCGATCCTCTTCGAGGGCGGCTTCTTGTTGAACAAGCTTCTGCCGTAAAAGTTGGAATCCGGCTTGTTCAGCTTCATCTTCGTCATCATCACTTTCTTCGGGGATCTCCATCGTTAGTTCTGGGGCCTGTGGTACTGGTGAAGGCATCTTTTGTGGTCCAAAATCATAATGACCATCTTGTTCTTTTCGAAGACGGCGAATTTCTTCTCCGGAATTGCTCATGTCATTAACTGCCTCCTGGTTGACAGATTCATTATTTTCAACTGTCTCTGTACCCTCCATCTGATGATCACCATCTGCATCTTTATCCATTGATCTTTGGATTGGAGCCTGAGTCCTGGGACTAATTAGTGAATCATCTTCAGGTGCTTCAGCATCTGGGAGGATCTCAGTATCAATGGTTCCTAGAGATACTGGGAATTTGTAAACTGGTTCAGTTTCTGACTTTCTTTCTTTCTCAGCAGCTAATCCTGATACCTCGTTTGACTCGGGCGGTCCTACATCCGTAGATTTCTCCACAATTTTTTGGTCGTCATGGGGCTCCAAGACACGCTCAGAATAATCTCTTGATAACGAAGGCGAAGGTGGCCTCTCTGAGCTGGAGAAATTCGTACCAGCATGTTGAGGCTCCATGCTAGGGAGAGCTTGGAAGTCGTTGTTGGAGGTGTTGTTTTCAAGATCAGTTCGCGGTAATAGTGATGACTCGGTCGTAGAAGGTTGGGGTTCTGTGGGCTCAACGGTAGCAGGTTGAATGTCAGATGGTGCAGTATCTTTAGATGCATCATCCTTTGAGGAGTTTTCTTCGGATACACCAGCTTTAGAGAGACTCTCGTTAGTGGACCGGTCATTTGAGCTCTCAACATCCGCTTTTGTGACTGTGGAATGGGGAATATCAACATTGGTCTCGGTGGCTTTGATGGGAGTTCGAGAATCTTCAGATGGCGATTGACTTCTCTCAATGGGCAATGGAGCAAGATTAATCGCTGGCGTTGATTCTGCTTCCTTAGTGATAGAATCCTTTGTAATCAGATGAGTACTGGAATTGGAATCTTCGGTGACTGCAGTGGGTGGTGATTGTGGTTCGACAGAGGGAATAGCTGGCTTTTCTGGGTCAGTAGATGGAGGTTGACTTGAATGTCGATGATGTTTCTCATTAACGCTCGAGTCGATTGTTGCTGCTGGAATGACCGGTTTCAGAAATGGTGAAGCTGGACTTTGATGATCTTCACCGACAAAGGGCTTAGAATCGGATGAAATGTCTTTTGTCGGGTCCAACACTACGTCGGGCTCTTTCTGAGGCTCTGAGTGAGGTTCAAGCTCAGATACAGATTTATTTCCCCCCTCAGTCAGTGCGTAAGGTATATCGTTTGCGGATTCAGAGCCAATGGATTCAGACAAAGTATCCGGAACTTCTCTTGTATCTAATAGCAGAGGCAGATCCCTAAACGAATTGACAAGAAAGAACTGGTCAAGAGGAGGTAAGTCGGGTCTGTTGCGAGCATCGTTCATGCTACGCCTGACCTCCGCTAATTCACTCTCGAAATTGATCTCATCCTCAGGGTCATCATCATTGAAGGGGTCCAAATCGGAGTCGGAATAATCATCACTGATCTGTATTTTGGGTGGGCGTCTACCGAACAAGGGCTTTCGCTGACGACGTTTTTTGTCAACTCGTGCTATCTCATCAAATTTGTGTTCTGGGGTTGCGACGACTTGTGTGTCCGATCTGTTGTCTAGCGGGGGGTTTTCAATGGACTGTGAAACTATAGATTTTGCAGGAACGTAGAGGCTGCCTGGAGCCCCACGGCCGGCAAGAAAACGGGGCGCAGTTGGGACCGATACACCAGGTACAGGACTTTCACTGACCGATGTTCCAGTTGAACCAAATGCAGGAACCTGAGGAGGAGGGGCTTCATATGGTCAGCATCATACACAGAACACACATGTTGAAACATGCACAGGAACCAAATTGAAGTGCCAAGAACAGGAAAAGTAATTAGATCGTGAGACTTACTTGCGGATGGTTGAGTTCTACGTGGAAAATTCGGTTCAGGAGATCTACTGCGGACTTGAGTTCGATGATAATGTTCATCGTAGTTATAAGGTCGTCCACGTCCACGTGCTAATCCATTTCCTCTTGCTCTACCATAACCATGAACAAATGGTTGAGATGACTCGGACGAAGGCGAGGTAACAGACATTGGACCGTCTCGTGAGCCTCTTCGAGCACGATCAAGGTCCAAGCTTGAAGGTACGTCACGAGTATCTCTACTATTGTAGTTAGGAGATCTTCCCCTACCAAGAGGAGATGAAGGCCTTCGCCCTTTGAAGCTGTCCCGACCACCCCATTCTCGATCACGGCTTCGATCATCGCGAAACGGTACTAAAGGTCCTCTGTTGTCCCTTCGAATATCTCTATAGTCTCTTTCTCTTTCTATTTCTCGGCCACGTTCTCGTTCTCGATCTCGATCCCGATCGCGGTCTCTACTCTCATCTCGCCAGCTACCTCTTCCGCGACCACGACCTCTGCCACCTCTGAAATCACCCCGATATCCGAAATCACCTCGATATCCATCGCCAAAACTGTTGCCTCTAGGGCCGCTTGGGGGGTCGATATAACTTTTGGATCCAGCCCGTGGTCCTCGAGGAGGATCGCGTAATGATGAATCTCGATTTGTATCTCGTGAAAGTGTATGCCTATCTGAGAAAAGCTCTCGATTTTGATTGTGATTAAATGCGGCAGTGTTCGCTCTTGAGTTTGATGGCGATCGGCGCCTGTCACCGCCGCGCGCAGCCCCTCTATAAGTATCGGAATCGCGGGAGTCGAGATATCGTCTTGGAGATCGATCCACTGGAGAGCGGGCGCGAGGTGATGTGTGTGGTCGAGTCCTGAAAGATTGAGGTTAGAATCAATTCTCATATAGTAATCATTGAAGCGACAAACATTGCGATGAGATTTACAAAAGGGGAAGACTACAATTTGTAGCAATCCCCCGTCCCTGTCGTCCTTCTTTAGTCGGTATCTCAGCGCTTGACTACCTAGTATTTATCGGTATAGCCACTGCAGTTACGACTCTGGTCCGGCGCTGCTGTTCATCAAATGGATACTTAAATAATGCCAAAAGCGTAAGCGGTGGGTGTTGATGTTGAATGACAGCGCTGAGTATTGTCGCTGGCGCAGTATTGAATCTTGAGAAGCATGCGAAATGGATTTGATCGAATACTGAGGTTGCCGCAATTGTTCATTCCCGCAGCACGACCGATATAGTTCGACTTGGCTCGAAAGGTTTGACCAATCAAATCTCGTTGTTTGCGGTCCGATCCTTCAAGGTTTTATAGCCTCGAATTTTGACCTCAGCCTCAGGGTTTCTGAGCCTAGCTTCGGATGTTATCATGTGATTAGCTACACTTGTATTGTTTTCAAAAGGAATCAATTGATAATATTTAATCAATTTATGTGAATTGATAGTAAAATATTCCTTATTCACCAAAATCATACTTTAAGACTACCTAGTAAATACTGAATGATTTATCTGCACCCTAGATAATTTTTGATCATCCCACACTGAAAACCCATTACCTGTCTACCTAGCAGGTACAGGTACCTACTGGTATCTACAAGCATTTATTAAACATTTCCCCGCAACGATTTAATCCTATTGAAGTCGCACAAGTTATGTGCTCCACTATTCAGCCACAATATAAAAATACCCAGGTGCTCCATATTATTGGATTAGCTAATCATTCGAGATGTGGCTTGACGAGGGCGCTCTTGGTGGAGAATAAAATTTCAACACTTCAATCAGAGCCACTAATAAAGTTAATGCGCTGCACGGGCCACAAATCGCTTCTTCCTGCATCAAAACTTTTGATCACATTTCCTGACCAAGACATATGAAAATATACATGAACACAACATATTTATTAATACTTCTTGGAATTTGAATTTGTATACCGTTCTCTATCACAGTCGATACCAGCATATTCATAATAGAAAGCCCAGAAATGGCCTCAACATCCAATTCCGATGGAGCACCTCCATCCTCCGTCATGGATGCAGTTCTCGTCCCTTCAAACGAAATGCCAGTCAATGCACAAAAAGTCGAAGAGCTTGACTTTAACAAATTTGCTGGGCGCCCAATAACTGTTGATGATCTATTGAGTGGTATGAATAATATGGGCTTTCAAGCAAGTTCCATTGGTGAAGCTGTTCGAATAATTAATGATATGGTACGTTATTCCTCTCTCATCATTTCTGCAAAACCTAACACTACTAGCGTGCATGGCGTGGTCCAGAACCAACAGATCGTACCACCATTTTTCTTGGATATACTTCAAATTTGATCTCAAGTGGACTTCGTGGTACTCTTCGCTATCTCGCTCAACATCGTCACATTTCTGCAATCGTCACCACTGCCGGTGGTGTCGAAGAAGATATCATTAAATGTCTTGGTCCCACCTACATGGGTTCATTCTCTACTCCTGGAGCTGAGCTACGTGCCAAAGGTCAGAACCGTATTGGAAATCTTATTGTTCCTAATAACAACTATTGCGCATTTGAAGACTGGGTAATGCCCATTCTCGACACCATGCTTGCTGAGCAAGAGGAATCGAAAAAAGATCCCGACACTGACAATCACATTCACTGGACCCCCAGTAAAATCATCAGAAGATTGGGCAAAGAGATCAACAATGAAGAGTCACTACTTTATTGGGCCTACAAGAATGACATCCCTATTTTCTGCCCGGCACTTACCGATGGTTCCTTAGGCGATATGCTTTACTTTCACACTTTCAAATCCTCTCCGGCTCAACTTCGTGTGGATCTTGTTGAAGATATTCGCAAGATAAATACTATGGCTGTACGAGCCCAGCGAGCAGGAATGATTATTCTAGGTGGAGGTGTAGTCAAACATCACATTGCGAATGCCTGTCTGATGAGAAATGGTGCCGAGAGCGCAGTTTACATCAATACTGCGCAAGAATTCGATGGAAGTGATGCTGGAGCGAGACCTGATGAAGCAGTTAGTTGGGGAAAAATTAAAGTTGGAGCTGATAGTGTCAAGGTTTATGTTGAAGCAACTGCCTGTTTCCCACTGATAGTGGCAGGTACCTTTGCAAAGGACCAAGAGAAGAGTGTATCTCAAACTTCAATACCCTCGGAAAATTAAGAACAGAATTACGATTCCAAATTGATATCTCTCCATGCACGTGAACCTATGTAGATAACAGACTATTTCTTGCTAAGAATTGGAAACTGATGGTCATATCAATTTGTGCTGTCAGATTATCTACGCTTCCATGATCTCTACTCTTGAAAAAATGTTTACCTAGGATTTCATTGGTAGACCGATAGATAGGATATCATACACGCTCCCTTCCGCTTACAAAATCCATTAATAAATAAAGTAACAGTCATCGTGCCTGACATTTCCCAATTTCAGCAGCAGGAGCAAGCTTCTGTGTGAAAATGTCACTTCCGGGATTTATTTACATAGTCAGTGTCTCTACCATCGGGTTTGTGATAAGTTAAGTGAGAATTTAAGCCAGAAAATCCCTTTGAGTGGTATTGAAAGGTTTCCTTCCTTGTGTAGTAAATCGCAGTTCCAGGGAAGTTTTGTTAGTATAATAATATTAATGATGAACGATGGATGCATCACCTTGGAGATATATAAAAAGCGTACTGGGCGGCGGCCCATTGACTAAATGGTTATAATTATTATGTTCGGAGAAGAATGAATTTTCATTCATTGTTGGGGGTGGAGTCAAACATAAGAATATGTTTTGTGAAGGTATGGATGGATGAATGTATGGATTAATTGATATCTATGGAAAGTGCAAGAAGTGGATTTAAAAGTTTGATATGCATCTCGCTGGTTGCGGTGGATGGGTTTGTTCAAATATAGATTACCTGCCTATGATATCTCTTAGATGAGGGCGTTGAGAGGTTGAGAGCTCGGTGGATAGTTTTAGTTTGCTGTAATGGACTCAAATATTTGATGGGAATTATGGTGGGTATAGAGAAGTAATGGTAAGTTATTGATATAGGTAGGCTTAATGATATCTCGTTTCAGTATTTAGGGATTACAAGTCTAGGCTGATTGCGTGTCGTCTGAAAATCAAGAGCAGGTAATGAAGAGGCTTCATGCCTTGAGAATCAAAGCTTAGAATCACATTTCATTCATCACAATGAAGTCAAATATTAAAGATAATGAGTTAAAAATAACCTACATCACCAAATTAAAAAAGCCCCATCATCCTTCAAAAGACTGACCTGCTCTGACCTAAAATTCAAAACAAACCAGATTCAAACTGCGCCACTCGCATGAGCAAGCAAGAAGAATGAACCTCCAGGGCTGGCCTTCACAAAATCCGCCACGTATCAGAACTCTGTTACTCTCAACATGTATCAACGGCTGACCGGGGATCAGCACGCTGTATTGAGAAAGAATCCTGCGTCTCAAGCACCCATGATATCCGAAGTTAACCTTGCATATCATATACCTTGAGAACACGTCGCATTAAGAGTGAAGACCAACCAACCCATTCAAACAAACGCAACTAAAAAAATCCCCCCAAACGCCGCATTATAAAATACCCCAAACGCCGCATTATACAATCCAAACCACCACACATCCAAACCAAATCAGCTTCGATATCCTAATCGATGATCAAGATTTTTCTTGCTTTAGCTTGGTTCGGGGAGCGCGGGGTTTTCTCTCGACCACCGTCAGTTCCTCCGGGAGTCCCTCGGCTGGTAATGGAACGCCGATTGCATCCAATTTGACTTCGAGCTCTTTTCTGACCCGAGGCTTGAAGCCTTGTTTCTGATAAAGTTGGCGCTCTTCCTCAGCCTTGACCTCCCTAGCTGCCTTTTTTTGCTCCGCAGTCAATGGCGTCTTGGCTGCGGAAGATTTTTGCCTTTTGGCAGAGGTCTTCTTCGCTCTTTGGCGAGGCTTTTTGGCCAGAGGTGCAGTAGTGGTACTATTGACATCCTCGGCTCCCCGCTTCCGTTTCTCAACTTTTTGTACGGGTGGTTGAGAAGCAGCTTCTTTGCCGGACCCAATTTTTGAGTCATCTGACTCGGGAAGCGTTGTAGGTGGCGATGGTAGTTTGGCAGCCTCTGGTGTAGGGGATCCCCGATAGGAGATCGTGTCTTGACAGCTAATTGTATCAGATTGATCATTAGCTGTAGGGACTACCCGTCCTTGGCGTAATTCCTCAATCCAAATAGCCTCAGAATCGGATACAGGATTTGTCGTCATCCACATCAAAAGATTCACGAGGTCCCGGTCGGCCAAAACGTCGGTCATTTTGAAAGAATTAATGCCTAGTGTTGGGTTTGAGGTTCTATAGTACAATAATTGTCAGCCTGTATTCTACATATCAGATAATATAAGAGATCAGACTACAGTGTTCATTGATAGATAAGCGTATTCCAAAATGTTTACAGCTTTGGTCCACAGGGTGTCCAATAGTCTGGACTGTAGTCCAACAATGAAGATTATCAAGTCCCTCAAAACTAGTTAGAATATTCAACCGATTTGAGATGTTGAATTTGATTAGAATATTGAATTGTCTTCAAGCTTTCAATGGCTTTTAAACATTCAAACTCTTACATTGTTGGATTGCAGTTCAACAATGAAGATTATCAAATTCCCCAAAATCAATTAGAACATTCAGACTATTTGAGATATTGAATTTGATTGGAACTTTGAACCATCCTCAAGCTTTTAAATGCTTTTGGATATTCAAAATCTTATATTGTTGGACTGCAGTCTGGACTATTAGATACCCTGGCTATGGCATTGATGATGTATCAAATCTGATCTGTCAAACCGGCTAATGAGATACTCTGCGGTGACAGATCGATTTGAGACTTTTCACCATTGCAAAGCTGTAGAAATTTAAAGGAGATTCGCTTATTGGGTTACAGGGAAGATCGTAACGTCAGTGATAGATAGGTGTAGAATCCTATGCTTTCATCTGAAGATAAGAGATATAAACAGCAAGGGTCGACGAGATTGTACTCCTAGGACGGAGTCTCGAGGAGTGGGGTAGAATTTGACTACTTACTTTGTTGTGATTGAATGATCT